ATAAATCCTGTAGGCTTTCTTCATTCCTTTTTATTCTCCTCTTGACTGGATAATTTCAAAAGATTTATCTTTGAGTTTGCAGATTGTTTCTTCTGCTTAATCAAGTATGTTGTTGAAGCTCTCTATTGCATTTTTCATTTCGTTCATTATATTCTTTAGCTCCAGGATTTCTGGGTTCCTTCCTTCCTTCCTTTCTTCCTTTCTTTCTTTCCTTTCTTCCTCCCTTCCTGCCTCCCTCCCTCTTTCTCTCTTTCTTTCTTCTGCAGTTCAGCAGCTCCAGTTCCAGGGAGGGCACAACAGCATAGTCTCCATGCAGTTCTGTCAGTTGAGGTCAATGTCAGTGAAGACTGTGGAGGGTCCTTGATGGTCAAGGCTGTGAGTGTCTGTGATGGAAGTAGTGGTGAGGGTTGTTGGCCTCCTAGATGGCAAAGGATGCTGGGGTCCTCTTGATCATCTTTTCACCCACAGACTGAGGTCCTAGCTGAGGGGATTCTTCTTGGTGCTGTGTCTGGCATGTGAGCACACAGGCCTTGATGGCAGTGCTGGGTTCTGGGACAGAGATGTACATGCATTGATGGTGGTGCCAGTGTTTGGGGTGCAGGTGCTCAGAGTGACAGTGTAGTTCATGGTTCCTGAGCTTGGAGTGTGAGCACATCTGCTGTAGTGGTGCCAGTTTCAAAGGCACAGGCATGCACAGATCGCCAATGAAGCTGGGGTCCACATTCTCTTAGGGCAGGCCACATCAGCTCAGGTCCTGGTGGGTGGGGTGCAGTGGTGTCTTGGTGCTTGGAGGGGCAAGGTAGAGCAGCAACATGGGCCCCAGGGATGATGGGGTCCTCAGGCTCTGAGTTGCAAGCACACCAGCAACTCAAGCCCTGAAGATGGTGGGTGCTGGGGGAGGCCTAAGCCCTGAGGGGAGGATGCAGTTCCTCCTCTGGGGGGAGTCCAGCGGCTTGGACTCTGAGCAGGTCCATCAGGTGGTGAAGGCTGCTGGTGTTCCTGGTGGTGACAAGAGGTGTTACAGTTCTCCTGTTGTCCTTTCCCCATGGGAAGAAATCCCTTAGAGGGGATCCCCTTTGGCACCAAGCTGCTTCAGACTGAGGGACAGAATGACACAAGTCAAATTTTTGATACGCTCTTCTATTTGGCCATCCTCATCTTTGTGCTCCACAGTGTTTCTGATACTTCTTCATTCTGTTCTAGATTTGTCCAAGAGCTATTTTCATTGGTATGTACACAGTGCAAATATTATTCACAATTTCAGGAGAAATGAAGACTTTTTAGACAAGCAAAACCTGATAAAATTAATTAACCAGCAGACGTGCACTATAAGAAATGTTAAGGAGATACACTATAAATGTAAGCGCATAGATAGGTTGAAAGTACCAGAATGGAAAAAGTATATACCACACAAACATTAACCAAAATAAAGGTGACTGAGGCACATAAATTTCAGAAAAAGCAGATATTATGGCAACAAGTACTACTTCAGAAAAAGAAGGACATTTCACAATGATAACATGGTTAATTTAACAAGAGTACATAACAATCTTAAATTTGTAAGCACCTGATTTTATTTTGCCTCATTTATTTTGAAACAACAAACCCAACAATTACAGGTAGAGCTCTTAGCATAGTTCTCTCAGTAACTGTAAGAAGCAGACAAAACATCAGTAAACTTAGAAGGATTTTAACAAAATGATAAAGCAACTTGACATACATGGAACAGTTCACCTAACAACTGCAAAGACACATTCATCTTAAGTTCCAACGGGCCACTAGCCAAAGTAAACCATATGCTGGGCATAAAGCAAGTCTCACCACACTTCAAAGAACTGAAATCATGTAGAGTATGTTATATGACCACAGTGAAGTAAAAATATGAAATGAGCAACAGAAAACTAGAAAATATCCATATGTTTAGGAATTTAGTAAACCAGTTTTAATAATTATGAATAAAAGAAGTCACAATGGATATTAGAAAAAATTTCTAATATTTTAATATAATTGATAACAAAAATGACTCATCAAAACTTCCGATATGTGGGGTTTTTCCCTGCTCTTACCAGTTTTATTCAAAATTAAGGCACAGAAAAAAAGAAATAAAAGGCATAAGTGTTGGAAAGGAAAAGCTGAAACTGTCAATATTTGCAACAATTTGATTGTGTACAAGAAAATCTTATGGGACTCTATAAAATAATTGCCAGGTCTTACAGTGAATTTAGCAAGGCTGCAAGATACAAGGTCAATATACAACAATTAATTGTATATCTTTTGTGTATATGTTCCAGCAAAACGTTATTTACAGAAACAGGTGACCAACCTGCTCACTAGTTTCTTTTTTTATTGAGATATAATTGATAGATACCACTGTGTAAGTTTAACCTTTACAGTGTATTGATTTGATACATTTATATACTGCAACATGGATTACCATCATAGTGGTAGCTATGTGCCTTTATCACATCACATAATTATCATCTTTTTGTGGTGATATGCGGTTAAAGCAGGGTGTAAAGTGAGCTGCAAGAATGATGTACTGATAGGGAATTCCCTGGCGGTGCAGTGGTTAAGAATCCACCTGCCAATGCCGGGGACACGGGTTTGAGCCCTGGTCCGGGAAGACCCCACATGCCGCAGAGCAACTAAGCCCGTGTGCCACAACTACTGAAGCCCGCGCACCTGGAGCCCATGCTCTGCAACAAGAGAAGCCACCGCAATGAGAACCCCGCACACCGCAACGAAGAGTAGTCCCCGTTCGCTGCAACTAGAGAAAGCCCGCACGCAGCAACGAAAGACCCAATGCAGCCGAAAATAAATAAATTTTAAAAAATAAATAAATAAAAATTTAAAAAAAAGAATGATGCACTGACACATATCACAACGTGGATGACTCTGGCTGAGCGAAAATTATGCCAAGTGAAATAAGCCAGACACAAAAGGACAAATAAAAGGGATCAGACTTTTCCCTCAAGACACATAAAGCAGAGTTTTAATTTGTCTTTAGAATTTAAGTGATCACCAAAGTAGTTTAAAAGCTTCTCAAAATATTGATATTTTAAATATCTTTCTCTGACTACACACAGACACACACAGACACACACACACACACACACACACTTTCTTTCTTTGGTTTCGACAATTACAACCATATTATGCATACTGTTTTACAATATTTTTGCAGGTATTTAATTCATTCATTCATCGAAAAAACGTTTATTAAGCGTCTACTATAGGCCAGGCACTGTAAACATTTGGGATTCAGTGATGAGCAAGATAACAAGGTCCCTGTCCTTAGAGACCTTACAACTTAGCTGGAAAACAGATAACAAAGATATAAACACGAATAAACAAGATACTTTCAGAGGTGTTATTGGAGTTTTGTCAGGTTCTTCACTCACTTCTTACAAAACTGCATTTCATGAAGTAAGATAAATTTCTGGGTATGAAGGTGAATCTATATTTTTATATGCTGAGATTGGTTTTTATTCCCAAGAAATTTCCCCATGAGAATTTATCTCCAGAAAAGCCATAAGTGTAAGAGAATAACTACAGTGTGTAGGTAGTTTTATGTACTTCCCTCTGCAGATGATGGGGGTGGGAGGGACAAGGAGCCCTTGTTACTCAGCTGCAACAGTGTCTTAGATTTAGGCCGGGCCTCTGTTCCTCCTGTACACTGGGCTGGTGCTCTCAAAAGCAATGAGATATCATCTCACACCAGTCAGAATGGCCATCATCAAAAAATCTAGAAACAATAAATGCTGGAGAGGGTATGGAGAAAAGGGAACACTCTTGCACTGCTGGTGGGAATGTGAATCGGTACAGCCACTATGGAGAACAGTATGGAGGTTCCTTAAAAAACTACAAATAGAACTACCATACGACCCAGAAATCCCACTACTGGGCATATACCCTGAGAAAACCATAATTCTAAAAGAGTCATGTACCAAAATGTTCATTGCAGCTCTCTTTACAATAGCCAGGAGATGGAAACAACCTAAGTGTCCATCATCGGATGAATGGATAAAGAAGATGTGGCACATATATACAATGGAATATTAGTCAGCCATAAAAAGAAACGAAATTGAGCTATTTGTAATGAGGTGGATAGACCTAGAGTCTGTCATACAGAGTGAAGTAAGAAAGAGAGAGACAAACACCGTATGCTAACACATATATATGGAATTTAAGAAAAAAAATGTCATGAAGAACCTAGGGGTAAGACAGGAATAAAGACACAGACCTACTAGAGAACGGACTTGAGGATATGGGGAGGGAGAAGGGTGAGCTGTGACAAAGCGAGAGAGTGGCATGGACATATATACACTACCAAACGTAAAATAGATAGCTAGTGGGAAGCAGCCGCATAGCACGGGGAGATAGCCCGGTGCTTTGTGACCACCTAGAGGAGTGGGATAGGGAGGGTGGGAGGGAGGGAGATGCAAGAGGGAAGAGATATGGGAACATATGTATATGTATAACTGATTCACTTTGTTATAAAGCAGAAACTAACACACCATTGTAAAGCAATTATACCCCAATAAAGATGTTAAAAAAAACAAAAAGCCTTGCGGTAGTTATGGAGGGAGAGAGAGGGTGAGAAGCTGACAGCCACATTCGTCCAGAAGGCTGCACAGTGGTTTGATGTTATGTGTGCAAAAGGAGATAATGATGTACTTCCCAGCAATACCAATGTTCACAAGGCACACGGAAACACGTTTAGTCCCTGTGTGTTAACTGCATGTATAAATGTATATTCACCACTACAGTTTAGTAAACACACTTAAACTTTTGGCCGATGGCAAGTAAAAGCACTTTTTAGAACAAAGACTTTTAACTTAAATACTTGATGTGGTGTTGTCTTTAAAATGCCTTGTAATTACCAAAATCACTTGAACCATTTAGTATCTACCCAAATGTAAGCTGGTGGGCAAAAGAACATGTGAATGGCTAGTGAAGCAAACACCACTGTTAGTAAAAGAATAATATAAATAACTAACCTGGGTTTTCCATTGACATGAAGACAGTTTCTCCTGAGAAGGGGAATAGGGTAAGTGTGTCTTCATAGACCATTTTGTGTTTGAAGGTATATCCAGAGAAAAAGACAGACAGGAAGTCAGTCTGTGCTCCAATACTTAGAATGTACCAGTATGCCACCTCATGCAAACAAACCGACAGTTGCAAGCTATCAAAAACATAGCCATTGATGCCTGTAAAGAGAATGGAGAATAAAAGATTTTAGCAGTACCTGCATGTATTACTTTGGACTGTCATGATCTGATTAGAAATGATTATATGTTATGCCCATTACCTTATTCCCAAGAAGAGATAACATTATACCTTTCAAAAAAGTAAATTGTTAATACTTGATCAGCTAGGTTCCAATGTCAAAGTGCGGAGAGTCACAGACCATCACAGTACTGATGGATTTAGATGCTGTAAGGTGGGCGGCAGGCTGATGAGCAGCAGGACGTTTGCACGCTCTCAGAGTATCTCCCTATACACTGCTTATTAGCTGCAAGGAGAAAAATAATAACTACACGGAGGAAAAAACCAGAAAAAAAACTCTTGATCTGGTGATCAAAATTAGTATCTGCTAGTGTTCCAAATTCAAGGAAACAGGTTTCAAAGAAGCAGGACTACTAGATCCATGACTAGACCCTGAAACAGAGAGAGGAAATGCTACAAAATACAGCACTGATGGATACAACTGGAATATTGACTACCAATTAGGTAAGTTTATTGTATAAATGTGTTAGATAATGTATTCTAGCACTGTTAAATTTTCTGGATTTCATAGCTGCACTTTGGTTATATAAGCAAATATCTTTATTCATAGGAAATACACAATGAAGTATTAAGAGATAAAGGGACACGATATCTACAACCTATTCTCAAGTTGAAAATAAGTAATAAAAAAGTATATATAGAAGAAAGAGAGAATGATAAAGCAAAAATAGCAAAATCTTAAAAATGAGTGAATCTGGATAAAGGGTATATATATACCCATTAAGGGTATATATATATACCTATATATATACACCTATTCTTGCAGCATTTCTGAAAGTTTGAAATTATTTCTAAATAAAAAGTAAGTAAAAGTAACACAGATTTCAATTTATAAACAGAATTGTTTCTGAAAGCCTCTTCCATACATCTATCTGTCCATCCATTCAATAAACATTTGTTTACTCTGCAAGGTGGAGGCCCACAAATCCACTAAGCAATGCTCAGACACTAGCTTAGTGCAACTAATTGAGAATCAAAGTTCCTTGCTCTACAAAGTGTTAAAAGATATTTTAAAGCTATTGTAATTAAAAGCATGGTCTGAATGCAGGTATAGATGATTATGTCAATCAGAATATAGAGTCCAGAAACAGACACAGATATAAATGGAAATTTAATATATGACAAAGGGAGCATCTCAAAACAGTAGCAGAAAGAATGAACTATTTGGTAAACGCTGATGGAAAATATGACTATTCATATGGAACCACAAAAGACCCTGAATAGCCAAAGCAATCCTGAGAAAGAATAACAAAGCTGGAGGCCTCACACTTCCTGATTTCAAACTACACTACCTTTGTAGTGATCAAAATAGTATGGCACTCGCATAAAAATAGACACATAAATCAATGGAAAAGAATCAAGAGCCCAGAAGTAAACTCTCACATATATGGCCAACTGATAAATGACAAGAGAGCCAAGAATACTCAATGGGGAAAGGATAGTCTCTTTAATAAATGGTGCTGGGAAAACTGAATAGCCACATGCTGAAGAATGAATTTGGACCTTTACATTACATGATACACAAAAATTAACTTGAAATGGATTAAAGACAAGCATAAGACCTGAAATTGTAAAACTCCTAGAAAACATAGGGAAACTTGTCTTTGCAATGATTTTTTGGATGTGACACCTAAAGCACAAGCAACAAAAGTAAAAATTAATAAGTGGGACTACATCAAACTAAAAATCTTCTGCACAGCAAAAGAAACGATCAACAGAATGAAAAGGCAACCACCTATGGAATGGGAGAAAATATTTGCAAAGCATGTATCTGATAAGGGATTAATGTCCAAAATATATAAAGAACTCATACAACTTAATAACAAAACAAACAAACAAGCAAAAACAATTTGATTTTAAAAATGGGCAGGGGAACTGAATAGACATTTTCCTAAAGAAGACATACAAATGGTCAACTGGTACATGAAAAGATGCTCAACATCACTAATCATCAGGGAAATGTGATCCTCAGTGAAATAAGTCAGAGAAAGAGAAATACTGTATGATTCCACTTATATGTGGAATCTAAAAAATATGAACTCATAGAAACAGAGAGTAGAATTGTGGTTACGAGGGGCTGGGGTGTGTGTGTGGGAAATGGACGGATGTTGGTCAAAGGATACAAACTTCCAGCTATGTAAGAGGAATAAGTTCTGGGGATCAGCATGGTGATTTTGTTAATAATACTGTATTATATACTTGAAACTTGCTAAGAGAGTAGATATGAAATGTTCTCACCACAAAAAAGAAATGGTAATTATGTGATCTGGTGGAGGTGTTAGCTAACACTATGTGTTATACACCTTAAACTTTTATACAATTTTATATGACAATTTTATATTAATAATGCTGGAAACAAAACAAAACAAACAACAACAGTCTGTGTATAAAGGGTAAAATTTCAAAGGTATTACCCCCGCAATGGGAAAAGACGTGTGCATAACTCCCAAAATAGTAAAGAAAATTCGGAATTTAAAAACACTTAATTGATCAAAAAATAAAGGAGAAAATACTAAAAATTTAGAAAAAAAGGAAACACAAATTACTATAAATAAATCCCATGTAGATAGGATAAACTCCCCATTTAAGAGGGAGATGGTCTAGGACTTCCCTGGTGGTCCAGTGGTTAAGACTCTGCGCTTCCACTGCAGTGGGCACAGGTTCAATCCCTGTTCAGGGGAACTAAGATCCTGCATGCCAGGCGGCGCAGCCAAAAGAAAGAGGAGAGAGAGAGAGAGAGAGAGAGAGAGACAGAGAGCGAGAGAGAGAGAGAGAGAGAGAGAGAGAGAGAGAGAGAGAGAGAGATGGTCTAATGGGATCTCGTCCTCAGCACAGATTCTCCCAGCGTCTCCGCACAGATTTGCTCTGGCCATTGGCTCCTCCTGATTGGCAGAGTCATCCTTGGGGGGTTTCTCCTCTATTCATATGGCTTTCCTTCCTGGGGTTGCTTGGCAGAGAGTCCCTGGCTCAAGGCTCAGGGGTTTGGAGCTGGCTCCAGGTTCTCTGATTATTTCCAAGTTTTAGCAATTATGGATAGAGCTGCTGTATACATTCATGGACAGGTTTTTGTGTGAACCTAAGTTTTTATTTCTCTAGGGTAAATACCCAGGAGTGGGATTGCTGGATCATATGGTAGTTCTATGTTTAATTTTTGAGGAACCTCCATACTGTTTTCCATAATGGCTGTGCCAACTTACATAGCCACCAACAATATACAAGGGTTCCCATTCTGCACATCCTTGCCAACACTTGTAATCTTTTGTGATTTTGATAACAGGCATTCTAACAGGTGTGAGGTGATATTTCATTGTGGTTTTGATTTGCATTTGCCAAACTGTCTTCCAGAGTGACTAAACCATTGTACATGCCCACCAGCAATGCATGAGGGCTCCTGTTGCTCTGCACTCTTGCCAGCATATTTAATACTGTCCGTTTTGTTTTATTTTAGCTGTTAAAATAGACATGTAGCAGTATCTCACTATGGTTTTAATATGCATTTCCTTAATGGCCAATGATGTGAGTATTTTTTCATATGCTTATGTGCCTTCCATATATCTTCTCTGGTAATGTGTCTGTTCAAATCTTTTGCACATTTTTAGGCATCTGTTTGTTTTCTTACTGCTGAGTCTGAGAGTTTACATATGGATATGTGATTTGCAAATATTTTCTACCAATCTGTGGCTTGTCTTTTCATTCTCTTTAACAATATCCTGTGTAGAGCAAAAGTTTTTCATTTGATGAAATCCAATTTATCAAGTTTTTCCTTCTATTAATTTTGATTTTGGTGTCATTTATCAGAACCCTTTGCCTAACTCCAGGTCATGAAAATTTCCTTCTATGTTTTCTTTGAAACTTTTTGTCGTTTTACATTATACATTTATATTTTTAAATATAAATTTACTTATTTATTTATTTATGGCTGTGTTGGGTCTTTGTTGCTGTGCATGGGCTTTCTCTAGTTGTGGCGAGTGGGGGCTACTCTTTGTTGCGGTGCGTGGGCTTCTCATTGTGGTGGCTCCTCTTGTCGCGAAGCACGGGCTCTAGGTGCGTGGGCTTCAGTAGTTGTGGCACACGGGCTCAGTAGCTGTGGCTCACGGGCTCTAGAGCGCAGACTCAGTAGTTGTGGTGCACGGGCTTAGTTGCTCCACAGCATGTGGGATCTTCCCGGACCAGGGCTCGAACCCATGTCCCCTGCATTGGCAGGCGGATTCTTAACCACTGCACCACCAGGGAAGCCCTTACATTATACATTTAGATCTATGATCCATTTTAAGTTAATCTTTAAGTGTGAGATTTAGGTTGAGGTTCATCTTTTTGTATATGGGTGACTAATTGTTCCAACACTATCTGTTGAAAAGACTATTCTTTCTCCATTGAATTGCATTTCCATCTTCATCAAAAATCAATTAGTCATATATGTGTGGGTCTATTTCTGCACTATATATTCTATGTCATTCATCTTTGTCAATACAATGCTACCTTGGTTACTGTAGCTTTATAGTAAGTCTTAAAATCAGGTAATATGAGTCCTCCAACTCCATTTTTCTTTTTCAAAATTGTTTTGGCTATTCTAATGCCTTTGGCTTTCCATATAAATTTTACAATATACTTTTCCCTACCAACAAAAAAAATCCTCCTGGGATTTTAATAGGAATTGCATTAAATCTATAGATCAATTTGGGAATAGCTGACATCTTCACTCTATTGAGTCTTCCAATCCATGAATGTTGCATGTCTCTCCACTTATTTAGGTCTTTTAAAATTCCTTTCATCAGTGTTTTCTAATTTTCAGTGTACAGATCCTGCATGTTTTGTTAGATTTAGGCCTAAGTATTTCATTTTTTGAGCTATTATAAATGGTATTATTTTTGTAATTTAAGTTTCCAATAGTTGGCTATTGTTACATAGAGATATGACTGACTTTGGTATGTCAACTTTGTATTCTGCAATCAGACTAAACTCACTTATTAGTTCTAGGAGCTTTTTTGTGGTGATCTTGAGATTTTCTATGTAGATAATCATGTCATATTCAGTTTTATTTCTTTACTTCCAATCTGCATGCTTTTAAATCTTTCTAGTTTCCTTCCCCAATTTACCTGCTGCCAACTACTTTTCAGGGTTCTCAGATAGCTGCTCCATGCATTTTGTATGGAACAATCCTTAACTATCATTCAGTAGGATAGACAGGGTGATTCCATCTTAAACAGAACCAGAACTGCAAAACGCATATATTTTTAATTTTAACGGTTTCAATCAGATTGGTTTCAAAAAGACTGTGCTAGTTATCCACTAGCATTGTATGCTAATACTCTTTTACTCACAAGCCCACTAGTAATAATTATATTATAATTTTGCCAGTCTGACAGGTATTAATTGTTATCGCAATGGTATTCTATTTTGCATTTCTCTGTAGTGAGACTGACATTTTTAATCAAATTTTTGACCATTCTGACTTGTGTGTGTATATATACACATACACATATGTGCTCCCACCCAAACTCATATGTTGAAGGTTCTAACCCCTAGTACCTCAGAATGTGACTGCATTCAGAGATAGGGTCTTTAGACAGGTAATTCTTTAAAATGAGGTCATTAGGGTGGGCCCTAATTCTATATGATTCGTGTCCTTATAAGAGGAAATTTGTATACAGACATGTGCACACACAAAGGAAAGACCACCTATAAGCCAAGGAGAGGGACCTCAGAAGAAACCAATCCTGTTGACACCTTGATCTCGGACTTCTGGCCTCTAGACTTATGAGGAAATAAATGTCTACTGTTGAAGCCACCCAGTCTCTGGGACTCTGTTATGGCAAGCCTAGCAGACTAATACAACGTATATGTTTTTGTTTTATTTTTGTTTTTTTTTTTGCGGTGTGTGGGCCTCTCACTGTTGTGGCCTCTCCCGTTGCGGAGCACAGACTCCGGACACGCAGGCTCAGCGACCATGGCTCACGGGCCCAGCCGCTCCGTGGCATGTGGGATCTTCCCGGACCGGGGCACGAACCCGTGTCCGCTGCACGGGCAGGCGGACTCTCAACCACTGTGCCACCAGGGAAGCCCCGTATATGTGTTTATATATTATTATATAATCATAGAAAAATATGTTTTAACATGGGCTACTGGACACAAAATGATTAGTGGAAAGGTATAATATGGAAGGAGGAGGGAAGATAAGAGGGAAGGGGAAGCCAAATAAATATCAAAAAGATCATGTTGTACACTTTAAATATGTACAATTTTTATTTGTCAATTATACCTCAATAAAGCTGCAAAAAAAAGATGTTGGGTTTTTTTAAATGTACAATGTCGTGATTAATTTGACTGTTAAATTGTTATAGCTGGCAATTTTTTTACATATGTAAAATTGCATTCCCTTTGTATTTCATGTGTAATTTACTGATTGAGCACATTTTATATTAAGGATGGCTTATGTATGTTTGGGTAAAGGAAAACTGTGTCTGATTTATCCTTTAAAAGTAAACTTCACTGAATATTTGATGCCTTCTAAAAGAAAATATATGCATTATATGATCATATTTATGCATTTATATAAAATTGCATATGTTCATATGTAATAATGTTTAAGGAAATATGACTCTTATGTGGCATATAAATTAACTGCACATCAATTTGGTGTCTTCAGTTTCCCTTTATCCATTACCCACTGGACTCAAGTGCTGCTTTACTTACTGTGCATGATGTTGGAGACTTGGAACTCTGGATCCTGGGGCTGCACTCCATCTGCATTGGGGAGGAAGCGCTGAATATTCTCTGTGAGGTACCAGCTTTGATTCTCATCAAATACAGAAAACAGGATGACATTTCTCTTGTCTGACATCATCTATTAATTACATGGAATGAAAGGAAGAAAGAAATGCTACTAGTATTGTCAGGTAGAAATTAGCAGTCTATGATGGAAGTGATGGCATGCATATGATGTATCTACAGTCCTCTGGTTCAATGTCATTTCTCCCTAGGGTCACTATTATGGCATGTCCCAGGGCCTGGGAGCAGTGAGTATATGTTTAGAGCAAATGTGTCCTCAGGGCAAGAGGGTAACTGGACCCATTAAACTTAGTTTCTTCTGGACCCAAGGCTATGCTGGCTGATTGTTTTGGTAGAGTCTGTAGCCTCATTCTCTCCATGTTTAGATTAGAGAATTTTTCACTCTTTAAAGACCCAAGTGATTATTCAATGTCTTTCTTAAACAATTTAGTCAAATCAAGTAAGGTGAATGCCTTCCCTAAACTTTCATCTAGCAAATGCCCTTCCACAAGCCTACCAATCTGTGAAAAATTAAAAATACAAAATAGAAGTAAAATAACAAAGCTAAGATGAACCATAAAATGTTTACTAACACTAACACTTTTAAGTTTTATGTTTACAAAGTTGAAAGTTTTTTGTGGGGGAGGAGCTGTTTGTATATGAACCGAAGTTATGAGTTAGTCACTTGCTAATTGAATCCGCTAAGAATTAATGTATAAACTTCACTAATATGTATAAATTTCATCTTGTATAAACTATTACTACAGAAATTAAAATGCTGAGGGGAGGAGATTGGAGAATATAGGTACATTTCAGTCCTCTTCCAAAAACTGATGGAAAACTACAATTAGGAAAAATTAGGAAAGATACTTGGCCAAACTGATGCCTCTCTGGGTTTGTGTGCCACGTGTTTTACCTGCATTAAAGTTCATAAAATGTTTTCAGACTACTAGGAATCCTATATATCATAAATAACCAAATGGACATGTAGTCAAGCCTCAGCAATATGGCAATGAGTTATTTTGCAGCCAAGCAATGAGTTTTTGTGAAGAATCAAGCTTTTTAAATTCAGAGTATTTAACTTAATTTTTTCTAAAATGGCAGAAGTGGTCCAAATTCTAACCATATTCTGAAATATTTTACATATTGCCTTGAATTTTGCTCAACAAATATTTACTGAACTCCTACTAAAATACCGCACACTATGCTAGATGCTGCACATGTGTTCATTTTGAGGTGTCTTTGAATCTCCCACAGTGAGACGTCCAGGGGAGACGTCTAAGCTATCGTATACATTTGTGGGTCATCTGAAAATAGGTGGTAATTGATCATGTAAAAATGGGCAAGATCACTTACAGAGAGAGGAATTTTAGACTGAGAATGAGTATTATAGAAATAATCTAGGGTCCAGGCTCTCCTATCCATCCAGCAGGCAAGTTTATTACACCAAAGTCAAATTCAATAAAAGCAGTGAGAAACCCAGCTCATTTCTTTTTTTGCTCAATATTGCAGACTACTATATTTTCTGCAGGCTATAGGTGGATGTACACTGAGAGAATATAGGAAATACTATCTGCGAGTTCATGTGCATCATCATTCCATTTTAGCTTCAGACCCAGCACTTGGAAAGAGATGAACTCACCTGGTTTCCTCTTTGATCTACAGATTCTTTGTAGCAGATGAGGAGAGGGCCAATGAGTCCTGAAGCTAGATCTCTCTCTAGATTAACGAAGCTTGAGTAATATCGGGTCAGGCACCGAGGATCTGATTTAGTTGGCCCATCTTCTACAGTCACTGTCCATTTATATTTGAATATCTCTCCTGGCAGAATGGGCATATCTTTCAAATGTTTCACACCTACCCACACCCAAACCCCAAAACAGCTTGATTAGAAGTATAACAAGGCACATATTGGTAATCGTGTCATTATTACAATGGCTCTACAAATTTATATGTACATATAAAGTTTCTCAATAAGTGAAAACTAAATTTGCACCTCTTATAAGTTTAAGATTCACACAACTTTTTACAATAAAAATAGGTTCAGGAGGGCTTCCCTGGTGGCAGAGTGGTTGAGAGTCCGCCTGCCAATGCAGGGGACACAGGTTCGTGCCCCGGTCCAGGAAGATCCCACATGCCGCAGAGCGGCTGGGCCCGTGAGCCATGGCCGCTGAGCCTGTGCGTCCGGAGCCTGTGCTCCGCAACCGGAGAGGCCAAAAAAGGGAGAGGCCCGCGTACCCAAAAAAAAAAAAAAAAAAAAAAAAAAGGTTCAGGAGATTTCTGCTAGCATGTTAATTTGAGATGAAATGAGCAGGTCTACCCACTAATAGAAATAATAGATAATAATATTTTTAAACATTTAAAATACATAACTGAAAATGTATAAAGAAGAAAAAAAAACCCAAGTGCCAAAAAGAAAGACACAACAAAGCCAGAGTGGCCTGAATAGATGCTGAAATACTACACACTGAAGTTTTAACTCACATGTAGTATCAAGACTTGTGGTATCTGGCCTCTGTGAGGAATGGAAGCAAGAATTAAAATCTGCCCTTGGGCTAAAGGGTCCTCAGGACAAGAACTGTCTGATTTTAGTAATTAAAACTCACTTTTGTGTATGTTTAATACCTAAAGATCCAGTCTATATCCATTCCCTAACCATAGGTCAGGGTTAACGTAATAGGGAGTGAGGGTAGATGGGTATTAGAGGAAAGGGCAAATAGAGTTTTGCTTAGTAGGTTCTGCTGTGTGAGCGCTCTCTCTCTGACTACACTGTTTGGTCACCAAAGCTTTCTGTGTGGCAGGTGCTGAGATGCTGGTCTTTTCTTAGGGTGCATGTATGGTTTCCTTGGAGTAACCTTCGGGACCTCAGCACCATATACATGAGAGTTGCTTACTTCAGTTATCCTTCCGCAGCCCTCCTCCCTCCCCAGCTCTTCTTACGTCTAGTGATGCATGCAAGAGCCTGTTGTTATTTCTGGCATCCCTCACCCTGTCAGGCTGCCTTCTTAGGCAGGGTATCTTCAAAAGAGAGCAAGCCAGCTACTTGCAACAGTATCTACTTTTTACGGAGAAAACTCATGCATCCTAGCCAGGTCAAACAGCAGAAGGGCAGACTGCTCCACTCTTACCCTCTCTTCTTATCTGCTAGTTATAAGCAGTAAAGCCTTCAGAGTTTTCCACATAAAAAGCAAGTTACCAGGAATTGTATTTGCGTATGCCTCCAAATTTCAGGGTACACATTCAATATCTCTCCAGAATTCTGTTACATTGCCCTTCTCCCATAAAGGAACTGCAAATCAATTTAGCATTAGAATTTTCATCAGCAACAATGAGTATCAGAAAACAGTGGATTGAAAATTATTTATAACCAGCCTATCTATACATCATATAATACTGAAGGACTCATAAAGTTTTCCCCCTATATACTAAATGTATTCAGAAGTATATTGAAGGTATACTTCCAGAAAAACAAAAGAAATCAAAAACCAGAAATGTACAAGATAGGAGCACTAATGGCACTAGCCTACAAGTCCAAATAAAAAAAAATCCAAAGATGGCAGCTTTGTAGCAGGCCTAGAAAGCATATAATCCAAATTAGAATAGTAAGCTGGTGAACTACAAGAACATCTTTAGAAGAAAAAAGGATCAGATACCAATAAACAGCATGATTAAGAAGCTGGAAGACCTAAGGGATATGGTGAAAAGGCATACATTTCTTCTCCTGATAAAAGAAAAGAAAGTCGGGGCTTCCCTGGTGGCGCAGTGGTTAGGAGTCCACCTGCCAATGTGGGAGACACAGGTTCGAGCCCTGGTCCGGGAAGATCCCACATGCCGCAGAGCAGCTAAGCCTGTGCGCCGCAGCTGCTGGGCCTGCGCTCTAGAGCCCACAAGCCACAGCTACTGAGCCCACGAGCCACAACTACTGAGCCCACGAGCCACAACTACTGAAGCCTGTGCACTTAGAGCCCATGCTCCGCAACAAGAGAAGACACTGCAATGAGAAGTAGCCCCCACTCACCACAACTAGAGGGGGCCCGCATGCAGCAACAAAGACCCAATGCAGCCAAAAATAAAATAAATGTATTTAAAAGAAAAACACTGCAACAAAATATTAAAAAAAAGAAAAAAAGTCTTTTTTCAGGATTACAAACACAAAAATTCCAAGATCAGCATGGTCCTAATATAAAGCAAACTAAAATTTACCATGATTTTGAACTACTGGTAGAGAATAAAGAAGGGTAATCCATTTGACCTTAACAGTAAAATCATTGGAACTGTAGACAAAAGAATAATCATAGCATATCACCTAGTCCTGCAGTAAACTCATATACTTATAATAAGAAACATACTAAAATAATATAAATGCTGGTTTTTTGACTTTTAAAGTTTAGAATAAATATATAGAAAAAGCAAGGAGTTATTTGAAATTACAGTGCAAAATGTAAATGTTATCAACTTTAGTTTTATAAAAGTAAAGGTATAGCTGGCAGCAGTGGGGGAATGGAAGAATAGAGGAGAAGAAATGGGAAACTGTTGTTAGTACCTTAATGTATACAAAACGTAGGTATTTAGCATGTTTTTTAAAATCCTAATGATAGCCAGTTGAGGAACTAAAAGCACTGATGAAAGTCTAAAACAACTGGAATGGAAGAAGCACAATGCTAAATCCTCATTTAACACAAAATAAACCTATAATATCTAAAGCTGAAAAACAAAGGAGTAGCATATAAATTATTTTTTAGAGCTATAGAGATAACTACCAAAAATCTAAAACAGAAATGCTTAAAAATGGATGCCTCTAGGGAGTGGAACTTACAGCCTTTCAATATTTTAAGCATGTATTATTTTGATAAAATAAATATTCATCCCCAAGTAAAATTAAAGCAACAATGAAATACCACTTTTCACCCACCAGATTAGCAGGATTTTAAAAGACTATTATCTTCTAGCTATCAAGGATGTGGGAAATTATATTTTCACACATGACTAGTAGAAGTGCAACTTACTACTTCATTTGGGGACAAAGGCCTGGCTATTAAAAACAAAAATACAAATATTGTGACTCACAGGAAGATCAGTGAACCCCAAGTAGGATAGATATGAAGAAAATCATAGCCAGATAAAAATGACATACAGGGGAAGAATGACGGAATAGAATTTAGCTATTATAAAGGCAAGAAGATAGTAAAACAATATTTTGAATGTGCTAAAAGGAAAAAGAAACCCTCTCAACCCAGAATTCTATGTCCAGCAAAATTATCCTTCAAAAGTGAAGGCAAAATAAAGACATATTTTCAAATAAAATAAAACTTAAGAGAATAAGGATGGTGGGGTGATAAATGTGCATGGTTTTAGTTGTTATTGCGGCTGTGCCCTCATCTGTATCTACAGGTAAGGAAGACCTATAAAATTGAGGTAACACTTACCTTTTGGAAATCTCCCTGGGTGCAAAGGACTGACATCAGTGATTCCATGAGGGTAGATGTTATATGGTCGGCTTGCTTTATTCTTAAATATAATCTGAAAGTATAAATGAGATGTAAGATTAGGTACAAGACAATTAGGATCAACAAGAAAAGTGTGGCCTACCTCCAGAAAACAAAAGCTGCCTTGTATCTATAGTATGGGGCTTTGAGCCTAGATAAAGCTCAAAATGTTTGTTCTTTTCATAAAATTGCTCAGACAGCTACTTAGGTTTCTCACTAAAGGTTCCTTTCCATTTATTTAAAATTATTTAAATCACTTCAGGAAGAATTCCTTGCACCTTCTGACATTAGTAACTGAAATTTGGATGTCTGCTGAGGGCACTGCTTCCCCTCAGCCTTTCCCACCATTTGGGCCCTGAATTCCCCAACAGTGGAAGGGAAACTGGTTCAAGTGATAAAATCTTCACTGGATGCGCAGGCATGACCAGGAGGACTGCTGATTACAGCATTAAGCAAGGGTGGCAGTTGGAATTGTCTGATTGCACGAGCTTTAAAAGAGAGGTAGGATAGAAGAGTGATAATATGGAAGCAGCATTAAGAACTCTGAACATATCAACTGGGCTCTATGTCTGAGGTTCTATGATATGAAGATAAAAAACCAACTTCTGGGCTTCCCTGGTGGTGCAGTGGATATTTATTTTATACTTTATTTTATTGCTCATATTCTTCCACCTTGGCTGTTAGAAGCTCCTATATTTCTTTAACATTGTCCCATCCTTTTATTTTTTGAGCACTTTCTTACTTTCTGGAACCACAAGATTCTCCAGGCTCATCTTATGTTTTCCCTGGCCCAGCCCTAGAATCATCGATTCTCCAAATGGCCTTGGTTCCTTTCATCAGAGAATGGTATTAAAAACCAAGATCTGGGTGTGCTCATTGCTACTGGGATGTCATTGCTTCTAGATCCTCTCAGTGGACAGCGCTAGGAAATATACTAACCTAAACATACACACACATATGTAATTATTTCTGTATGCATCCATCTGTATCTATATTTGGCAAACATGAACTCATAGTAATGTTTCCAACTGTAATCCAGTATCACATGATTTATTCTAGCCTTTCCTTTTTGTTTATTTATAATTACCCTCTTCAACAATGACAAATATAGCTCCCACTGTCATTCATTTACTTAATCTTCAAATAATAACAGTTTTGTTTATTCATTTCCAATCTTAAAACTTTTTTTCTCCTAAGAATACTGGCTAGGATTTCTAGTAAAATATTAAATAGAGGTTGTGATACTTGTTAACTGTTTCTTGTCCTGATCTGATCTTAAACAGAAGGATTTCTCAGTTTCACTACCAAGTATGATTGGTGCCTATAGATTTTCTTCAGATCTTTATCAGGATAAGGATGTCCCTTGTGATCTCAATTTCCTATGACTTTTTATTATGGATGGATGTTGAATTTTGATAAATATTTGTATGAAACTATTGAGATTTTCAAATTATATTTTACCCTTTTATGTGTTAATATGGTGGATTACCATATTTGATTTTCTAATGTTAAATTCATCTAGTACTCCTCCGATAAATCAACCAGGTCATAATGTATTATCTTTTTAATATATTGCTCCATTGGGTTTATTAATTTTTGTTTAGGATTTTTTGAATCCATGTTTATAATGCAATTGGTCTGTAATTTTAATTTTCCTTTCTCATACTGTCCTGCTCAGGTTTACAACTAAGGTTATGCTAGCCTAATAAAGAACTGGTGGGTCTTTACTTTTTTCTTATACTCTACATTTAAAATTTTAATATAAAATTATATATTCCTTGAATATTGGTATAAATTGCCAATAAAATGGTAATTCTTGCTAGGTTGATAGTGATTTTCTTTCAACACATTAAAGACATAATTTCATTGTCTTCTGGCTTCCTTTGTTGCTTTTGAGAAGTAAGCTGTCAATTTATGTGGCAGTTTTCAAACATGGTTCCCAAATTCTTTGACACTCTTCCCAACAAGAGGTAGGCCAAAGTTTCCCTCTCCTTGATTCTGGGTGGGCTTTGACTGCTTTTACTCAGATTATGCCATGAAATGCTGTGTGATTGCTGATGCTGGGTCATCAAAGGTGAGGAACTTTCTGACTGGTTTAGTGGAACACACATAGTTGGAGTCCTGAACTGCTAATACGCTTTCTGCTTTATAAATTGGCCTTTTTAAGATATTTCACATAAATTAAATCATGTAATACGTCTTTTTTGCTTGACTTCTTTAACTTATCATAATGTTTTGAGTTTTATCCATGTTGTATCATGTATGAGTAGTTCATTTCTTTTAATTGCTGACTAGTGTTCCAATTATATGGGTACACTACATTTTGTTTATTCATTCACCAATTGGTGAACATTTGAATGGCTTCCAATTTGGGGCTATTATGAATAGTGTTGCTATGAACATTCACATACAAGTCTTTGTGTGGACCTATGTTTTCCTTTCTCTTGAGTATATGCCTAGAAGAAATTGCTGGATCACACGGTAATTCCATTTTTAACATTCTGAGGAATGGATAAACTGTTTTCCAAAGTGGCTGCAAATTTTTACATTCCCATCAGTAGTTTATGAAGCTTCCAATTTCTCTGCATCCTCACCAATGCTTGTTATTATCTGCCTTGTTGATTATAGCTATTTTAGTGGGTGTGAAATGGTATCTCATTGCAATTTTGATTTGCATTTCCCCAGTAGCTAATAATGTTCAGCATCTTTTAATGTGCTTATTGGTCACTCCTTTATATATCATCCCTGAAGAAGTGTCTATAGAAATCCTTTGCTTATTTTTCAGTTGGATTATTTGCCTTTTAAATTTATTTTTAAAACATTTATTTATTTATTTGTTTTAGCTGTGCCAGGTCTTAGTTGCGGCACGTGGGATATTCATTGCGGCATGCGGGATCTTTAGTTGTGGCATGCGGACTACATAGTTGTGGCATGCATGCGGGATCTACTTCCCCGACCAGAGTTCGAACACAGGCCCCCTGTTTTGGGAGCACAGAGTCTTACCCACTGGACCACCAGGGAAGTCCCTATTTGCCTTTTTATTATTGAGTTTTTTTTATTATTGAGTAAGAGTCCTTTATAAATTCTGGATACTATTCCCTCATCAGATATATGATTTGCAATTATTTTCTCCCATTCCATGGGTTGTCTTTTCACTTTATGGTTGGTATCCTTTGAGGCACAAAAGTTTTTAATTGTGATGAAGTCCAATCTATTTTATCTTTTGTTGCTTGTTGCTTTTGATGTCATATCTAAGAAACCATTGTATAATCCAAGGTCACAAAGATTTACTCCTGTATATTCTTCTAAGGGTTTTAGTTTTAGCTCTAACATTTATATCTTTGATCCACCTTCAATTTGTGTATGGTATAAGGAAGGGGTCAAACTTCTTTCTTTTTCATGTGGGTATCCAGTTGTCCCAGTACTATTTGTTAAAAATACTATTCTTTCCCCATTGATTGGTCTTAGGACATTTGTGAAAAGTCAAGTGTTCACCTCCTACACTGCTGGTGGGAATATAAATTGTTGCAGTCACTGTGGAAAACAGTATGGAGGTTCCTTTGAAAAAACTAAAAATAGAGCTACCATATGATCCAGCAATCCCACTCCTAGGCATATATCCAGAAAAGATGAAAACTCTAATTCTAAAAGATACATGTACCCCTATGTTCATAGCAGCACTATTTACAATAGCCAAGACATGGAAGCAACCTAAATGTCCATCTACAGATGAATGGATAAAGAAGACATTGTATATACATACAAAGGAATGCTACTCAGCCATAAAAAAGAACAAAATAATTCCATTTGCAGCAACATGAACCTAGAAATTATCATAATAAGTAAAGTCAGTCAAAGAGAGACTAATTTCATATGATATCACTTACATGTGGAATCTAAAAAAATGATACAAATGAGCTTATTTACAAAGCAGAAACAGACAAACAGACATAGAAAACGAACCTATAGTTACCAAAGGGAAAATGGGGGGGTGTCAAATTAGGAGTATGGGATTAACAGATACAAACTACTATACATAAAATAGATAAGCAACAAGGATATACTGCATAGCACAGGGAATTATACCCAATATTTATAATAACCTATAATGGAGTATAATCTGCAAAAATACAGAATCACCATGCTGTACACTTGAAACTAACACAATACTGTAAATCAACTATACTTCAATTAAAAAAATAAGTCAAGTGTTCATAGATATGTAGGTTTATTTCTGGACTCTCAATTGTTTTCCATTGATCTATATATCTATCCTTATGCCAGTACCACACTGTCATGATTACTATAGTTTGTGGTAATTTTTGAAATTGATGTGTGAGTCCTCAAACTTTGTTGTTTGTTTTCCCCCAAGATTCATTTGTTTATTAAGGGTCCTATGCAATTCCATCTGTATTTTAGGATCAGCTTGTCAATTTCTGCAAAAAACGCAGTTGGGATTTTGATAGGGATTCAATTTGTATCTATAGACAAATTTGGAAGAGTCTTAACAGTAAGTGACTCTTCCAATCCATAAATATATGTTTTTCCATTTATTTAGATATTTAAAAAATTATCTCAGTAACAATTAGTTGTTTTCACTGTACAAGTGTTGCACCTTTTTTGTTACATTTTTCCCAAGTTATTTCATTCTTTTTTTATGTTATCATGAATGAAACTGTTTTCTTAATTTAATTTGCAGATTTTTCATTGAAGTGTATAGAAATACAACTTATTTTTTAGTATTGATCTTGAATCTTGCAAATTTGCTGTACTTGTTTATTAGTTCTAATAACTTTTTAGTAGATGCCTTAGGATTTTCTGCATAAAAGATCATATCATCAGCAAATAAAGACAGTATTATTTCTTTCTTTCCAATCCAAATGCCTCTAATTCCTTTTTTTTTTTGCCTTATTGCATTGGCTTCCAGTTCAGTATTAAATAAAAGTAACAAGAGTGGACATCCTTTTTTTCTACTGTATGATCTCACTTGTATGTTGAATCTAAAATACAAAACAAACAAAACATACTCAACAGATACAGAAAACAAGCCAATGGTTGTCAGAGGGGAGGGTGGTGGAAGGGCAAAATAGGTGAAGGGGGTTAAGAGGTACAAACCTCCACTTAAATAAGAAATATGCCATGGAGATGTCATATACAGCCTAAGTAATAATATTGCAATAAATCTGTATGGAGACAGATGGTTACTAGACTTACTGTGGTGAACATTTCATAATGTATGCAAATATCAAATAACTATGTAGCACAGCTAAAACTAACATAATATTGTATATCAACTATATTGCAATACAAAAATAAAATAGAAGCCTTTTCTTCTAACTCCAGTATCAGTCTAGAGTCTTGCAGCAGTGGAGGAAGGTTGCTCTTGCTGGAGTTTGCTACTTACCAATTTTCTGGTAATTTGATGTTTGTGGTACCCTCCATTTCCTAGTATTGTATGAATCATGTGTAACTTTATTTGTACTCCTTGTACACCTCATGGTTTTTTTTTTAAGATGTGTGGACAGATTTCGGTCCAGGTAGATGATATTCTATGGACCTTGGCATAACTTATCTGTTATTTCTTATTTTTCTTAAGTTATTAATTAATTTATTTTGGGCTGCGTTGGGTCTTCATTGCTGTGCCTGGGCTTTCTCTAGTTGCGGCGAGTGGGGGCTACTCTTCGTTGCGGTGCATGGGCTTCTCATTGTGGTGGCTTCTCTTGTTGCAGAGCACGGGCTCTAGGCACACGGGCTTCAGTAGTTGCCGCATGTAGGCTCAGTAGTTGTGGCGCATGGGCTTAGTTGCTCCGTGGCATGTGGGATCTTCCTGGACCAGGGCTCAAACCCGTGTCCCCTGCATTGGCAGGCGGATTCTTAACCACTGCACCACCAGGGAAGTCCACACTCCTATATTTTATCAAAGGTTCCTCATCTGTTCAATTGTGTTCAAAACCAGCTGAGTATGTAGGGCCTTTCACAACATCTTTAACCGCATCCATTGAGCTTATCACTCACCACGCCCTTCTACAGCAGCATTATTTTCTTGCCAAACCAGACTACATATCGCCTTCACTCTTCTTGAAATATGTTCTCTCCACAAGTCCTGTTCTCTTTTTTCCTTACTAAATTGTAAACTTCTTATGAAAAAAGACATTGTCCAGTTCGTTTTTGCATCCTCCATACTTGGCATTGATTGAGTTGATTTTCAAACACTCTTCAATTTATTCTGAATTTGACCCTTGTAGGTGGGAATGCCCACCTAGTATAAGCCATACCTTTATATTTAGGTTTTTATACGCAGAAGGAAAACGCTTTTCTTTCATCTGCTTTCCCTCCAAAATATGCCTAGTGTTTCTAAATCTCTTTTAAAATTTTAAACAGAAACCTCAAAAAACTTTTAATGACTAGGAACCCAAATCATCCTTTCTAACTCGTTTGTAGGGCAGTCTGCACTTGGGGTCAACAGTGAAGTTAGGAGGCACCCTCTGCAGGCCTGGCCTGGCCTTGACCCTTTGCTGCGATGCCAACAGTAGGCCGACCCAGTTCAGAGCTGGGGCGATGCTTCCGTGGACGTGTTCGCATCCACCGTCCTTCCCTTGTCTTCCCTTCGTGTCGTCCATAAGCCTCGACCCTGAACACAAATAGCAGGATGTGGAAATTACCTCCCAAGTCACCGTCTATCCTTGTATGGAACGCTGGGGTGTCAAACTTGGCTGCCAGCCTTCCTAAAGACGATTTTAGCAGCTCCCGACGATTTTAGGCAGGAGCTGCCGATGGCACAAAGTTCTCAGGCAACTTCTAGAACCTCTCGCCAGCTTCCCCTGCTGCCAGGTTACCATTTCGGTCAGGCAGAGACCCTCCGGTTCCCCTTCGACTGCTGGACCGGGCGTCCCAGTTAGTTCTGGGTGACTTAAGGTCACGTCAAGAAAACAACTGAAAGGGTAGATTCGAGGACGTGGAGACCGCCCCGTGCCCACCCAGCACTTTGCTGAGTCTCCGCAGGTGCAGCAGGGTGGACGGGGGGCCACGGCGTCTGGGCAGCAACGGCGTGATGGGTCGAGTGGGGCCTCGGCGTCCCTGGAGCTGCCGCCCCTGCCCCCGCCCCGCCAAGAGTGGACATCTTAACTTGTTCCTAATCTCAGGGGGAAAATATTTAGTCTTTCAGCGTATTATAAGTTTTTCTTAGATGTTCTTCATCAAGTTAAGGACCTTGCATTGTGCTGCTAGTTCATTGAGTTTTTTCTATCACGAATGGGTAATGGATTTTGTCAAGCCCTTTTTCTTCACATATTACATGATCATGTGCTTTTGTCCTTTATTCAAGTAATATGTTGTATTGCATTAATTTTCATGTTGAACCATCCCTACATTCCTGAGATAAATCTCACTTGATTATAGTATATGATCTTTTTAAAATGTTGCTAGATCTGGCTTAATAACGTGGAGGATTTTTGCATCTATATTCACAAGGAATTTTGAACTATAGTTTTCTTTAAAATTTTTTGAGACTTGGTTTGTGGCCTAATGTATAATCTATCCTGGAGAATGTTTCTTGTGCATTTGAGAAGAATATGTATTCTATTGGAGTTGGGTGGCCTGGTCTGTAGATGTCTGTTAGGCCTAGTTGGTTTATAGACAAAATGAGATTAGCCATTTGTTGATAACTGTTGAAGCTGAGTGATGGGTTCAAAGAAGTTTATTTTACTATTCTTTCTACTTCTGGGTATGTTTGATAATTTCCGTATAAAAAGTAAAAAATAGTCCTCAAGTTCTCACATTAACAGAAAAGCCTTATAGGATTCAGCATATATAAGAGCATAACTTACAAACATGAAAGAATGAGGTAGACCTACATATATTGATATGAAATTATATCCAAGATATATTGTTAAAATCTACATAGTGCTTCTAATTTTGTGTGAAATATGTGCACATACACTTGTATATGTATATACTGTTTCTGAAAGGGAATATAAAAAACTGAGAGCAACGATAGCTGGTCAGACTATGGGACTGGAAGTCTGGGAGGAAGGAAAGCTTGCTTTTTCTTGCATAATCTTTTTTGCCTTTTGAGTTATTTATACTGGCTAATTCAAAAATAGGTAAATAAAATTCATGAAGAAAAACTGTACATTAATAGTTAATTAAAATTTTAAAGAAGTAAAATGAAGGTAGACATGCCCTACAAATATCAAAACATATCACAAGGTTGCAGTCATTAAAACAGTGTGGTAACAGATCAGTTAAACAGAACAGATTTTATCATTTTAGTATACAATAAAAAAGGCATTTTAAAATTAGTGAAGAAAGGATTGATTGGACCAATTGGCTGTCACTTGGGGAACTCCCTATTTGACACGATGCTCTATACCCAAAAGTAACTTCCAGAGCAATTAAAACGCTTATTGTAAAAATAAAACTGTAAATGTAAAAGAATAAAATATAGTAGACCATATTTATAATCTCTTAGAGGTAGTGAAGATGTTCCTAGGCCGAAAACATAAATGAAAAACATCCAGAAAAATATAAATTTAAAGATTGAGAAAAGATCTTGACTACATAAAGACTGAAAATTTTTATAGGACAAAAGACATCACAAAGGAGTTAAAGTACAAGTGACAGACTGAGAAAAATATCTGAAAGACAAATAACAATGTGTTAATATTTATAATGCATAAAACCTTTTACAAATATATAAGCAAAATATAGCCATGTTAAGAACCTGCCTGCCATATCAGTAAACAAAGGATGTCGCAGCCATCAGTGAGCCCTGAGGTAACTCAGGAGAGGAAACAAAGAATGCCTGGCTGTCTAGCAGTCATCAGACTGCGGCCACACCCAATGGTGCAGCTTAAGGAAACGCAGGATGAGAAAGCACAGGATACTGGCCCCAGATAGCTGAGGTGCAGTTCAAAGGAATGATTCCAATAAGCCCAGACTCTTGCATCTTCCCATACATAGAAAAGTACTAAATTCCTTAACTCGGGATACCTGGTTTTCTTTAATTAACAGTAATCTTTTGTTCCTACTACCTGCCATTTGTTGCAAAACTCCTATATACCCTGGCTCCCCCCTTGCATCCTTGGAGCAGTTCTCTCAGGGTTACTTGAGACGCTGTCTCCTGGGCTTGAAGTCCTAAGAATGTCCGCCAAATAAAACGTAACTCTCAACTTTCAGGTTGTGCATTTTTTTACGGTTGACATGCCATCTATCTATCTCTAAATTGATTGTGAAAACATAACTCCCTATTTTTTAAAGCCACTGTTATTTGAAGCATAAGTATTGTTAATATGCTATATCAAGGGTCAGGAAACATTTTCTGGAAAGGGACAGATAGTAAATGCTCTAGGCTTTGTGGGCTATATCTACTCTCTGTCACATATTCTTCTTGTTCTTTTCCTTACAAGTCAAATGTAAAATCCTTCTAAAAGTTGTAGAAGGATATGTATGAAAGTCTAAGCAATATTTCAAATGAGTGTCAGGTTTAATGGGTGGCATTAAATATTTTGTTCTATAATATTTTAAAACAAATTTATAATCCACATTTGCGTAACATTTATAATTTTTAAAAGATCCTGCCCATTGGAGACAAGGCTGAATTATGAAGGTTTAAAAAACTCAAAACCCTCCAGACTTTGTCTTCTTACCCAACCTTATATCTTTTCCTCAACTTACCAAAAGTGTGTCTCCAACTTCTCCATAAAGTAAAGGTCCCAGGATTCCTGATTCATACTGAATAGCTTCACGAGTCTTAAATGTTTCATCTGTGTAAGCTATAAATCGGACTTTTTTGTACTTCCTACCAATCCGCTGAGGACCATTGTTCAAATACAGACTTTTATAACTTCTGTGTGAGACACAAAAAGATGAGAGGTTGGAATGGAGAATTCTAGGTAAAGGACAGGTTGCTAAAATCCACTCTAAAATAGCTCATATGATTTAATCAAGGAAAGGAGTGAGAAAAATATAAGCGTCCCTGATGTTTAGCTATGTTAATTTACCAAACATATTAATGCCCTTGCCACTTGATTCTATACCTGTACCTAACCTTAAACATGGCTTAAGGATTTGTTGTTTTGAATAACTGGGAAGAATTTTTGATTATGGGGAAGAGATAGCACCAAGAGTCAAAAGGTACTTGCCTGTCATTGGAGGTAAGGACTGAGGGAGCATAGTCCCAGTCGTCCTCTTCAGCAGCAATGTAGTGGACCCAGGTTTTAGGATGCTTCTTCGCAACTGAGCGGATTTGGATAAAGGGAGGAGCGCTGTCACCATCAAATCTGACCACATCCATGTCAGAGTCATAAAAATCATCATAATCTTCTTCTTCATTACTCTTCATCCATTTGCGGGGTTCTTCTGGGCAGCTATCTACTGTGACATAAGCTTCCATACCATCTGGAGTCAGACAAACGAATGTCAGGTTCCAATGAGACTTTCTTGCCTTAACTCTTATGACTTTGTTCTTTCTTGTTAGGCCTTCAAGGCCTTCTCTTAAGTGTTCCCTTCTCCACACCAATATCCTTTCTTGCCATTGTCCTATATGTATTACCTTCCCCATTATCTGGTACTTTCTGGTTTCTTCCTGTGGTCTTTGCACTCACCATTTCCCTTCTGCCTGACTCTCCTCCAATATATGATTTACCCCTTTTTCAAGACTCACTCATTTGCTCAGAATATCCATTTGTATTTGCTATATAATGCTCTGGGCATCACTACTGATATCCTGGAGCCCTTATGATTACAACCTAGACAGTGCACTTTTTTCCTTTTCCCTAAATTTCTCATAAAACATCTCTTCAGCTATGACCCAAAATCCCTCTCTCCATAGTACTGAAGCCTATTTAATGTGATCAGGCTGGGAAAACAATGATACACTGTCCTCCTCACTCTTGCCACCTCATTTTCCCCTCCCTATATCACAGGTAGATTCACCAGTACATTCACAAGTACTACTAATAATCAAGCCCTCTTATACTCAAGGTGAACTATTTGCTCTGAAAACTGGCAACTAGGGAATCTCAGTTTGAGGTCTAACTAACATAATCCTATACTGGACAGTGGACAGTAAATTCTATTAAAAGAAGAGCTGGATATTTATAATACTTATTTTTAAGATCCACAGATATTACCATGTTGGTGGGAAGAGATATGACAAAACAGTAGAAACTGGCCAAGGTCCATCAGGAGTGTCTGAGCAGTAAGGAATGTTATTGGTGAGATCTCCAAAGAAGCCTGGCGATGGTTCCTCACAAGAAATGTGTGCCCTTCAAGGAAAACTGAGTGCACTTCAGGGGTGGTGCCCATCCCAATCACATGCCAATAGACTGATTTCTTATGACATCCAATCAGACCTGTAAAGTAAGAATAACACAGCTGTAAGCAAGAAGTAGAGAATTGGAAATGGAAAACACTTTCTAGGATAGGATGAACAAATTGTCCTTACAAATTTTATTATCTTGACTTGGAACCAAACTTTCCAAGGACACTGGGGTACTGTCAAACTAACAGCTCTTGCCAAAGTCATCAATGACTATCTTGATGCTAAATCCAATGGGTATTTTTCAGTCTTCATCTGCATCTGTTGACCATTCATTTCTTCTTGAAATTCTCTCCTCCCCTGGCCTCTGTTTCAACAGAGTTTTGTTCCCCTAAGGCTTAGACTGCTCCTTCTTCTGTCTCATTTTGTGACTGCTCCTTCTTTACCCATCCATTAAATGATGGACCACCCCAGGGCTCATCCCTAGGCCTTATTCTCTCGTTAATCAAATTTTCTCCCTGAATAATATCATTCATTCTCATGGTATTAACTCCAGACTGATACCTTCTCAATATCTTCACCTGGATATCTCATAAAACCCACAGGTACAAAACCAAATTTTCAATCTTTATCACCTCATCTTATTCCAGACTTCTTGATTTCAGTGAATGGTACCATCCTGAATTCAATTATGCAAGTGAGAGTTATTCTTGTCCCCACTCTCACTTCTCACATCCAATCTAACGCTAATGATGGCAATATAATTAATAACAGTAATGTTTACTGAGCACTCGTGTAACATCAAGCACTGTCCAAAGTATTTTACAAGTTTTAACTCCCAATAACCCTACGAATGTAGAAACTATAGTTATCATCCCTCACTTAGAGGCGAGGAAACTGATGCCCAGAGAGGTTAATTAACTTGATATGTGAGAGCAGGGACTTGCATGTTTTGAAAGTTAATTTCTTTTCTAATTCTGAAATCATGCATATTAATTATAGAATTCTTGAAAAATATAGAAAAGAGTTAAGAAAATATCCTTCCTCGTCCTTCATTATTTTCTTGGGTGTCTGAATTTTCCAACTCCCTCTTTCTTGGTTTACTCTCTAGTTTTATTGTAGCACATATTCAGTGGCTTCTAAGGGCTACCATTTCTGAAAATGTCTTTATTCTTCCCCCAAAGTTCAGTTATAGTTTGGCTATGAATTCTAGGTTGAAAATAACTTTTCCTTTAGAACTTTTAAGGTATTGGTTTATTATATTGCCAGTCTAATTCTCATGCCTTTGTATGTGACCTGTTTCTCCCAGGGGAAGCTTATATATCTTCTCTTTGTTCTTTGAAATTCCACAAACCTAATTTTGTGTGGGGATACTTTTTTATTTATCCTGCTGGGAAATTTTTATATAAAGACTCAACTCTTTTCTTTTTTTTAACACTTCATTCTATCATTTCTTTGATTTTAAAAATCTCTTTTTCTTTTGCTTTCTGGGAGATTTGCTTTCTCAATCTCTTTTTGTTTTGCTTTCTGGGAGGTTTGCTTTATACCACTTTCTATTAAGTTTGTATTTTGGCAATCATATTCCTAATTTTGTGAGCATATTCTTGTTTTGATTGTTTCTTTTTCATATAATCCTATTATTACATTTTTTTTACTTACTAGAAACCTGTTTATTATATTTATTATAAAAGGATGTAACTCAGGAACATCCAGATGGAAGGGATGATAAGGCAAGGCATACTACTTTTCTTTATCTTTGCATATTGTCTTCGTGTTTCAGGCTTTCCTTAAATATCTGTTCATCCTTGGATGCCCATTTACATTTAAACAAAAGAAACCTTAATTTTCAGATAACTGAGGAGAACTGGAGAAGAGAGCTCTGTGGTGAATGCAGAAGCTCTTGAGGATTCTTGAGCAGGCTGTACATACCTGGCAGAGACCTGTTTATATAGCCATTGATTGTGTGCATTGCAGATGCAGGATCCACAGCCTGTGTCAAGGACTCATTTTTTCCTGAGTGCCAACTTTTCCCTGTTGAGAGAGGATGCGAATAGAGGGCCAGCTAAGTGTCTGTCTCATGTCAGCACAGTAGGCACAGATGATTTGCCCTCAAAGTCAGTAAGAAAAAGGGAGAAGACAGTTACCAAAAGGCAGATATTTCTCGCTCAAAGTAATGCTCTCTCCCTATATTTATCCATGACACTACTTGGAAAGGAATAATGACAGATGATAACTAGTGGAAGGGAGAATATCGGTTAATTTGCACCATGATGATTTCATTCTATTCATTAGCTCACGTATTTAAAAGGAGGCACATGAAAAGCATCCTAGGAAAAGGCTGCCAGTACCTGTCCCTGTCCTAACTGCTTCATCCAGTTTGCAATAATGAAAGCCCAAGAACCCGAAAGCTTTCCAACCTCGTCCCTGAAATTAACAAGAGTTAAAGGCACTATAAATATTATTATTAGCAGCTCCTTGTGCAAAGGACTGAAACTTTCTGAGGCACCCAGCCTTTGGGGAACTCTCATTAAGTTCATTTATCCCTTGATCCACTCATTTGTTCATTCAGTTAAACATATTTACTGAACACTACTGAGCACTAGGCACTGATGACAAAGAAGACACAGCCTCTACCTTCTAGGCGCTTACAATTTAGCTCGAATAGACAGAGAAGCAGACAATTATAATACAGAGTGAAGAGTGATGTAAGAGAGATAAGAACAGGATATTATGGGAGCAGAGAGGAGAAGGAACCTCACTTTGCCTGAAGAGAAAGGACTACGAGGTCAAAGAAGATAAATATTAAATAAAGCCAGCAATGATGATTTAGTGTCATAAGGAGGAAGCTCAAGGTGCTGTGGAAATATATAAAGAGGCAACTAACCTGGACCAGAAGGAGGAGAAACTTGGTGTGAAGCTGAAGACAGGCTTTCCAGGCAGAAGAAACAGCATAAGCAAAGGTCCAGATACAAGAAAAAGCATGGCGTGTTTTGGGTGTTACACAAAATGTGTTCGGTGTGGCTGCAACTTGAACGGTGATGAACGGTGAGGCAGGAAGAGAAGCACAATGAGGCTAGACAGGTCGTCAAAGACTAGGTCATGTATCAGTGTGTTAAGACGTTTACATTTTGCCTTGATGTAAAATTGAAGGATTTTAAGGGCTGGGGTGACAAGATCAGATTCACATTTTGGTAGGCTCCCTTTGGCTGCTATAGTAATAATGAAGTGTCAGGGGGCACAAAAAGACAAGGAGACTAGTCAGGAGAGAGACGATGGGGGGGGTCTCACTTCAGAAGGTGATCATGATGGCGACGAGGAAGAAATCACCCGCTTAATCCTTACAACCATCCTATGAAATAGTACTTATTATTTCACTTTTCAACTGGATAAAACTGAGACACAGAGGGGTTAAGTAACTTGCCCAAGTTACTTAAAAGTAAGAGATGAAGATAAGAAAAAGTATACTCATAGAACACAAGGGGGGCTGCCAGGGTCTGGGGAAATGGGGAAATGTTGGTCAAATGGTACAAGCTTTCGGTTTTAAGATGAACAGGTTCTGGGGATCTAATGTGCAGCGTGATGACTATAGTTAATCATACTACATTGAACACTGGAAATATGCTAAGGGAGTAGATTTCGGGTGCTCTCACCACACACAAGAAATAACTCTGTGAGGAGATATGTTAGTTTGACTGTAGTAATCATTTCTCTATCTGTATCTATTTATCTAAAATCATCATGATGTACACCTTAAATATATATGATTTTTAGTAAAAATTTCTTTAAAAGATAACAGGGGGCATTTAGAAAGTAAAGCAATAAGTCACTTCAAAAAGGGCTTGTGGGACCAAAACCAGGAGCTCTTAAATGCTGTGACCAAAGACTGAAATTCTCCAAAGGATGTGATAGTCACTCAATTGGGCTGTGTTTTCCTGAGGAGATAGAAACCTTAGCCACTCGTATCCATGATTGGCGATGTGGGAAAGTAAATAAATGTCTCCCACGTTTAACCAAAACTAACAAACAACCAAACAAAACAAAATTACATACATGAAACGTCGCGGGTACAGGCCTTGCCCCTAGCCCTTCAGACCAGACCTCCTGGTTTGACACGTCAGCCAGGTTTGACACCAGATCTCCTGGTTTGACACGTCACCTCCTGGTTTGACACGTCAGCTCCGCTGCTGGGAGCAGAAGCTGACCACGACACTCAAGCCCAGACAGCCGTAGCAGGCCGTGTGCAGAGACGCTGTGCACGCACTGCGTCTGCAGCTGCGCCTGCCGGGAGAGCTCCGCCCCTTCCCTCGTCCCTATAAAGTAGCCCCGCCTACGGCCTGTCGGAAGGGCGTTTGCTCTAGAGTCCAAGCTCGCACTTCTCTGTTCTTTGCACAAAGAATGAAACTTTCCTTTGCTTCAAACAGGAAAAAAAAAGAGAAAAAAAAAAAGAGAAAGTAAAGCAAAAAGTCTTTGTTGATGGATTTAATAAGAGGGACAAGGTTACCCAGCTACCCTATCTTCTTACTTCATAGCTGCCAGTGGAACTCAGCTTGCATTTTTTCCTTGGAATTCATTTTCATCCCTGTCTGCATCATTCCTGAATGATAATGTCGTTTATGATCTTTCCGTAATCACTTCCTTTGGACATTAACAGCCCTCATGCTCAAGTACCACATTAAATTAATATATTTCATTTCTTTCAGGAGACCAAGATTCAGACTGCAGCTCACTAACCTTCATCAAATACAGCAAAAAGTAGTACAAATTCGTGCAAGGTCTGTGTCCTTTCTTTGGTCAGACTCCCTGAAAAAGAAGTGAGAGCACTTATCTTCTATTGAAAATCCTCTCATAGGAAAATGACACTACGAGGATACATTACTTCATCAACTGCTTTGTCTCTTGGTCTCTTATTAACTTTACCATAACATTATTTCCTTGGTGTCACATCTCCTATGCCAGTAATTCTAAAATTATTCGGGGTAAAGGACTTTTTAAAAAATTTCAGATTTGTTGCAGACCCTTACTTTTATAAAATACACTAAAAATTAATTACTAAAAAAGAAATTAAAAAGACATACAAACTACAAGTTCATATAACCATATTTCATATATATGTATATATTCAGAACAAACATAAAACAGAAAAAGAGGGCTTCCCTGGTGGCGCAGTGGTTGAGAGTCCGCCTGCCGATGCAGGGGACGCGGGTTCGTGCCCCGGTCCGGGAGGATCCCACATGCCGTGGAGCGGCTGGGCCCGTGAGCCATGGCCACTGAGCCTGCACGTCCGGAGCCTGTGCTCCACGACAGGAGAGACCACAGCAGTGAGAGGCCCGCGTACCACAAAAAAAAAAAAAAAAAAGTTATGAGCAAAATAACTACTGTCTATATTAAACACATACTCACACTTTAAATGAACGCCATGTATATCAATATTTAAAGTTATCAATGTTACCAATAAGCTTGCTTCATGCTTTAACTGTTGAATTTGTTAGCTTTCTTAGCATACTCTTTCACTTGATTGGGAAGTTTTCTTTGCAGGTTTATTTTGAGTAGGAAGATTTTTGTTTATAATGTTATTTCCTCTCTTGTACTCTTTTTTTTAAATTAATTAATTTATTTTTGCCTGCATTGGGTCTTCATTGATGTGCACCAGCTTTCTCTAGTTGCAGCGAGCGGGTGCTACTCTTTGTTGCAGTGCACGGGCTTCTCACTGTGGTGGCTTCTCTTGTTGTGGAGCGTGGGCTCTAGGCATGTGGGCTTCAGAAGTTGTGGCACACAGGCTCAGTAGTTGTGGCTCGTGGGCTCTAGAGTGCAGGCTCAGTAGTTGTGGCCCATGGACTTAGTTGCTCCGCGGCATGTGGGATCTTCTCGGACCAGGGCTCGAACCCGTGTCCCTTGCATTGGCAGGTGGATTCTTAACCACTGTGCCACCAGAGAAGTCCTCTCTTGTACACTTAATGCTTGGAAAGTAAAAGTTAAATTGGACGAAGAAACTAACTCACCCATACAAATTTAAAATACAGGTAAAGCTGTCTGAAAAGATTTTAATTTTTTTATTATATATTTTTTAAATTATCAAGTAGTGAAATTGATGTCTTTCAGTAGGTGAATGGATAAATAAACTGGTCCATTCAGACAACAGAATATTATTCAGCACTAAAAAGAAACAAGCTATCAAGCCATGAAAAACATGGAGGAACCTTAAATGCATGTTACTAAGTGGAAGAAGCCAATATGAAAAGGCTACATACGGAAAGGGCAAAACTATGGAGACAATTTAAAGAACAGTGGTTGCCAGAGGGTAGGAGAGGGAAGGATGAATAGGCAGGGCACAGAGGATTTTTAGGGCAGTGATATGATACTATATATGACATATATATCATACTATATGATATATGATACTATATGACATATATGATACTGTATGATACTAATATAATGGACACATGTCATTATACATATAGTCCAAGTCCACAACATAGTGATTCTATGTTTCTATACAAGAGATCACCACAATAAGTCTAGTTGCCATCTGTCACCATACAAAGTTATTACAGTGTTATTGACTATATTCCCCATGCTGTACATTTCATCCCTGTGACAAATTTATTTTGTAACTGGAGGTTTGTACCTCTTAGTCTCCCTCATCTATTTCACTCATCCCTCCACCTCTCTCCCCTCTGGTAACCACCTGTTTGTTCTCTTTATCTATGAATTTGTTTCTGTTTTGTTATTATTATTATTATTATTTGGCCATGCTGTGCAGCATGTGGGATCTTAATTCCCCAACCCAGGATTGAACCCATGCTCACTGCATTGGGAGCATGGATTCTTAACCACTGGACCACCAGGGAAGTCCCTCATTTATTTTGTTTTTTAGATTCCATATATAAGTGAAATCATACAGTATCTTCTTTCTCCCTCTGACTTATTTCACTTAGGATAATGCCCCCTGGTCCATCCATGTTGTCACAAATGGCAAGATTTCATTCTTTTTCATGGCTGAGTAATATTCCCCACATCTTCTTTATCCATTCATCTGTTGATGGACACTTAGGTTGCTTCCATATCTTGGCTGTTGTAAATAGTGCTGCAATGAACATTGGAGTACATACATCTTTTTGAATTAGAGCTTTCATTTTCTTCTGAAAAATACCCAGAAGTGGAATTGCTGGATCATATGGTAGCTCTATTTTTAATTTTTTGAGAACCCTCCATACTGTTTTCCATAATGACTGTGCCAATTTACATTCCCACCAACAGTGCACAAGGGTTCCCTTTTCTCCACATCCTTGCCAACACTTGTTATTTGTGGTCTTTTTGATAATAGCAATTCTGATATGTGTGAAGTGATAGCTCAAGGTTTTGATTTGTATTTCCCTGATGATTAGCAATGTTGAGCATCTTTTCATTTGTTCATTCATTTGGCACTATGTTGTGCACTTAGAACTATAATAGTGTTGTAGGTCAATTATACTTCAATAATTTTTTTTTTTACTTTTTTTTTTTTGGCTGCACCGTGCAGCTTGTGGGATCTTAGTTCCATGACCAGGGATTGAACCCGGGCCCTCAGCAGTGAGAGTGAAGAGTCCTAACCACTGGACCGCTGGGGAATTCCCGGGAAAAAAATTTTTTATAAAAGGTTTAATTTAAATTACTATGATTTTTAGAATAAGAACTTATAAACATGTATAAATGCTTGCTTTTCTCAGATTTTTATGTTTTTGGGTTACAGATGACTAACCTCCTGAAGTGGTCTATACGCCATTGATCACACACTTGGATGTATTTACCTTCATGGAGGTTTCAAGGCACCTAACACAAAATTATAAAAGGCACTACTGAGACAGCCCATAGGATATCTGAAGTAGAAAGGAGAAGAAGAGAAGAGAGACCTAATTCCAGAACTTGGCTTTTCTTGAACATTAGAGTGCATTCTGGCTACATAGGATGGGCATCTGTTCTTCTCGGAGACTACATTATTCTCCTTTCCATGGCAGGATACTAGGGAAAGGAAACCTCTTTCAGATGTTTGTACTTGCCGGCTTATTTCATCTCAATCCTACTCTTTCTTTACTTACCTTCTCTACAAACCAGCAGGGCTCCAATGAGGCCTGAGTTCACGTCTTTCACCAGGTCCACATGAGAAAGATATGAGTAGGTGAGACATGGTGGGTCAGAGGCCGTCGGACCATTTTCTTTCAGGACCTGCCAGACGTAGGTATGACTTTTACCAGGAATGACTTTATCATCTTCCTTCTCCCTTTGGCTGGTTTTATCCTCATATTCAGCACCTAAATCAAGGAGGGATAAAATTGTCCTTCCTATGCCCATTGCCCACTCAAGGAAACATCAAGTTTATTGTCACCAGTAGACTCTACACAAGAAACAGTGTTCCTGAAACTTAATTTGGAATACTAACAAGTGGCAGCTATACATGGGGAGAAGCCTTATATGTTGCAGAGGAGTTCTTGACCACTAATGCAAACATGAGCGGTTGAGTGGTCCTCTGAGACCTCCAGATTGTAACAATAATACTGCTTTCATTATTGCATCTTTTTACCTAATTCAAGTCAGTTCAACTCAGTAGACATACATGGGTATGTACTCTTGTCCCAGACTCTTTACTGAGCACTGGTGAGGGTCAGGGAAGGGTGAGACACAGAGATTTTTTTAAATGTTGTTTTTAACTTGGTTCTTCTCTGGTGGGCCAGACCATATCAGGGGCAGATATTTTCTGGCTGTCCCATCCTTAGTGATGTTAAAATTGACCCCTGGATTATCCTGATACCTTTATTCTACACTGAGCACTATATGTTTTCATTGTTAGTGACGTGTCATTGCTTCCACATCATTTCAGTGGACTGAAGTAGAAAATATTGAAACTCACTGACCGTAACACTTATACTTCTATTGAACTATTTTTCTAGCAACTCACCTTAGCTTCTCGGATTCATCAGGGTCTCTGAGACTCCAGAGCCTCCCAAGGCATTCAGGGTGCTCCTCATCTATACCCCATCGTACCCCACAACAGCTATACATCTAATAGAGGGACCTCTCCAGCAGAGCTGTACAAGAGACCCCCTGCACTGGCCCACTATAAAGTCAGCCTCTTTGGTAAAGGGGTGCCCCTCCAGTGAGCACTACGGACAATTGGCTTCATCCAGAAGCAACAGCAGACCAATACCTGTGCTTGGCAGATCCTGGGGGACATTTAGAAAAACGTGAGTTGTACCTCAAGTTGGAGAGTGTGGTTCAGGTGTCTGTGTGATTGTGGGTTGGTATAATATTCTGAATAGTGAATACATTTGCATAGGGAGGGAGGGGATCATGGACGGGTAAAGAAGGGGCTTCAACTATATCTATAATGTTTAATTTCTTAAAATAAAGTAAGCAAACATGGCAAAATGTTAAGATTTGCCAAAGTGAGGTAATGGGTACATGTTTGTTTGCTCTATTATTTCCTGTACCTTTTTTTGTTTGAAATATTTCATTAGGAAAAGAATGTCCTTTTTCCTAATACTAAGGTTGGGGTTGGGGGGTTGATGAGAAGCCAAGAATGCGTGAAAATTATACCTGTCTTGGCAAGGCAGACGGTGAAAAATTGTAGGGTCAGTACATGGTGGATCCCAATGAAAATGAAGAATTGTAGGAGTGGGCAGTGAGAGAATGACAGCTGGAAAAGTAGGAAGTGATGTTCAGAATGTTGAAAGCTTGAACCTGAGATTTTGGGTTCTTCTCAGGTTGCTAATAACAAGGTCTATCCTTCGGTGAAGACAAAGTTGATTTGTCAAGACCAAGTGAAGTAGGCGGTGCCTGGGAAAAAGCATTGTGCACAGCCCTTAAAGTTCACATATCTACTAATGTCTCCATCAGAGTCTTACCTGAGCTTATATATCAGCCACCACAAATATTCTAAGCAGAATGTGTTTTGTGTAATTTTTATCTTCTATTATATGAGGAAGAACACTGTTGGGACATTTGAGAGTTCAGAAAGTCTGCCTGTCTGCTTCCAGTGTCCTGGTTAGCCCTCTAGTCAACCCCCTGCTGCTGCTGGGTCAGCCTTGCCCCAGGTCTGGCCTAGGCCCCCAGAAGCTACCTTGCTGAGACATCTCAAATTCCTGGGTGTCCAGCAGGAGTTGAGACCCACATTCTGACTCCCCATGCCAAGAATTTTTGTTGGTCTCAGTCGTGAAGGGCCATAGCTCAGTGACCCCTGGGCATGACTACTCTACCACAGGACAAATGCTGTGTTTCAGAGGCTACTCCACTTCACTCTCTGGTGCCTTCAGCTATTTTTCCTTTGCCTGATGTCTGCTCAGCAGCTTCAGGTTGGTACTTCTTAACTCGTATGCCCCCATACTGTCTTTCACAGCTCCCTCAAAGTTTGGCAGCTCATGGCCAACCTCATCTCATTCCTACTCAGAGCCTCATTTTGTGGACCTACTTACAGCCTAGGTTGGTGTCTTAGAACGCCACTTGTTCAGAGAAGAAATTAAAAGCCTTTCTCTAGTACTGGGTTTCCATTTTCAGCTCAAGACCAAACTTGAAACTTCCTTTGACGGACACTCCATGTGAACTAGCTATCTTGGCATACAGCATATGGCCACATCCAACAACAATATGGCAGGGAAATGTACTCTTGCCACTCTGGGGGAGGAGATGACTATTTGGTGAACTGAAATATAATTTACCAGAGTTGGTTTGGGAGATAAAAATGACAGGCTTGCAAAGCTATAGAGATATAAATCAGATCAGAAGTTGTCTGGGACTGAGAGTGGGAATGGGGCTTGAACTGCAAAGACAGAACTTCTTGACATGGATTGTGTTGATGGCTGCATAACTGTCTAAATTTAGTAAAAGTCATCAAACTACTTTAGATGAGTGAATTTTGTGGTATGTAAATTATACCTCAACAAAGCTGTTTAAAGATGCTATAGGGAAACCATACACAAAAATTAATTTAAGATGGGTCACAGACATAAGTATGAAAGGGAAAATAATAAAACTTCTAGAGGAAAGCATAGAAGAAATTCTTCATGACCTTGGGATAGGCAAATGTCTTAAATAAGACACAAAGCTCTAACATAAAAGGAAAAAAATGTGATACCTTTTTTGTGCTTCATTAACCGTTGAATTTTCAGGCTTAATTAACTTTAAGAACTTCTGTTTACCAAAAGAGAAAACTATTAAGAGAGTAAAATTAAAATTCAAGCTACAGACTGGAAGAATATATGCAAATATTTATATCTGTCAAAGGATTTGTATTCAGAATAAAGTACCTCTACAAATCAATAAGAAAAAGATAAACAGGGCTTCCCTGGTGGCGCGGTGGTTGAGAGTCCGCCGCCAATGCAGGGGACACGGGTTCGTGCCCCGGTCCGGGAAGATCCCACATGCCACGGAGCGGCTGGGCCCGTGAGCCATGGCCGCTGAGCCTGCGTGTCCGGAGCCTGTGCTCCGCAACGGGAGAGGCCACAGCAGTGAGAGGCCCACAAAAAAAAAAAAAAAAAAAAAAGTGATCCTAAGAGAATTTCTGCTACACAGTAAGGAGGACGTCAAAAGAGAGAGAGAAAGAGAGCCTATGAGGGGTTGGATGCAAAAACAAACAAATAAATAAACAAAAAAAAAGAAAAAAAAGAAAGAAAAAGATAAACAACTCATTTTTTTTTCAACGGGAAAACATTTCAACAGTTGATCAGATACTTTACAAAAGGATATCAGAAAGGTCAACAAGCATATGAAGTGATACTCAACATCGTCACAGATTTAACTTACATCCTGGGGCCCCCAGGCTAGTCTAAGAAGGCCAGGAGCCTGTGGATCATAACATATAAATACACAGGCTCGTGCTAGGATCGTAAATCGCATGGGCATTAGGCCATTGACTCACTGTGTTGTTCCTGGGAAGAACCACTGTAGCTGTATGTGTGAGAGATGATAGTCTATTTTCCCAGAACTCACCAGGCTTAGGGTGCAAAAGAGTCATCTCTATGGTCAGCTCCCAGCTGCAGAATTGTGGGAACCCTGGTCTCTCTAAAATGCCCCTAGATTAGTTTTGGAAGCTTCCAAGTAGATAAACCTCATGGAAATAGCCTGCCAGGCACAAGTCAGAACCTGGGATGACTTTTCCTCTATAGCACCTGCCCCCTCCTGTCTTTCACCTTCCCCCAGTCCAGGTCTGCCCTGACCTAACGAGTGCAACCTAGAAAACTAATGCTTTCCAATTTCAGAATGAGAAATTAGTCAACGCATAAGCATAGTTAGACCGTACAATACAGGGCATGTGCTCCAATAATTTCTTAATGATTTACTTGAACCTTCTTGATCTGTATATGCCATAGTCTATCTGGGCAATATCACAGTCTGTTGTGGCTCTCCCTTCACTCCCTTCCTGCACTGCGAAGGTTAAGGAGAAGCTAGTTGGGGTGGGGACTGTGGCCAAACAGGTTGCTTGCTGTAATGAGGTCAGCTTGTGCTTCTGCTAGTTGGCCCTAATCACATATTTAGAAATTGCGGGGAGGGGAGGCAGAGGAGATATCTGGAAAGTCTGAATCTAAGGAAGGGGAAGGAGAATTCTGTTTCATTTCTATACCATGGGCCTTGATCCTCCCTAGGAAGTTTTCTGGGCATAGGAAGGCAGATACAGTGGGATTTTTTTTTTTTTTTTGCTTTATGCAGGCCTCTCACTGTTGTGGCCTCTCCTGTTGCGAAGCACAGGCTCCAGACGCGCAGGCTCAGCAGCCACAGCTCATGGGCCCAGCCGCTCCGCGGCGTGTGGGATCTTCCCGGACCGGGGCACGAACCCACGTCCCCTGCATCGGCAGGCAGACTCTCAACCACTGCGCCATCAGGGAAGCCCCTACAGTGGGATTTTTAACATCCGCGGCCTGGCTCCCCAAGGGAGAACAGGGGACAGCAACAAACTTTAGGGTTTAGACTGAAATGACAAGGTTCTTGACTTCATGAAATGGGCCTAGGTTTGAATCCCGAATCCACCTTTCAGTAGCTGTATGCCCTTATACTCAATACTCTTCTGTCCCTAGGATGACAGGACAATAGGAGGGCATTTGACTCACCTTCAGAAGACTTCCAGTAGGATACACCGATAGCATGAAGACTAACAGGATGAGAAGCCATATTCTTAAGTGTAATGACCACCGTGTCATGAACCTCAGCCTGGATGGTAGGACCCAGCAGACCTGCAAGAATGAGATGTCCCCCAAAGGTCATTTGGAGGGTGGCACTCCAGAAAACCTGTTATCACAAAAGTGATGGTCAAAGTCACAGTAGAGAAGCATGCCCCTATGGTTATTGATAAAAAGTAGTAGCTGAATGAATGAATACATAAACTGCTATAACCAGCTCAGCCTCATAGTTGTTCTGAAGACAGATTTCTGGCAATTCATTCAATGCATTTATTCATTCAACTAATAATTGAGTTCCTACTATATTCTAGAAACTGCCCTAGGCACTAGAGATGCAGTAGTTAACAAGATAGATCATGGAGATCACATTCTAGAGACATTAAGCATGTAAATAAAGAAAGAAGAAAATTGTATGTTGTTATAAATGCTATAAATGATGATGGCGTGCTAGAAAATGATGAGGCAGGAAGTAGAGGACACTTTAAATATGGTAAACTAACATGTGGTTGAAGCAAAGTGAATGAGCAAGGGAATAGTAGAAAATAAGGTTATGGAGGCAGGCAGGGAACATAACATGTAGGACTTTGTAGGCTACAGCAGTTTGGATGAATTTGGAATTTAGAAGAAGCAGACTTGGGACTTGTTTTGGAGGAAGAGTGTAAAAAATATTAATAAACAGAAACATCAATTAAATAGAGTTGGGAGACCAGAAGGGGGCGCTCTCACCCCCTGTGACAATAGCAGAACCCAAGGGGAAGAAGACTCCTCATCTTTCCTGGCAAGGACTCAGCCAATGAGCAGCCACAGACTCTTTGTTTACTCTAGCCCTTCCAACTTCCTTTTCCCCTCTATAAACTGTGTTCCTCTCCCTTTGCTATTCAGGGACTTGTTTGTAGCTTGCCATGGTTGCAGATCCCAGATTGCAATTCTCTGCTGATCCTGAATAAACCCATCTTTTCTGGAGAAATATCTGGTAGTCTATTTATTTCAACAAGGTCAACAAGTCAACAAGACTTGCTCATGGGTTGGATATTGAAGATGGGGGGAAAAAAGTGAGAGAGCCAGGAATGACTCCTGTGATTGTGGTTTGTGCAAGTGGGTGGTAGTCAGGCCATGGCACAGAAAATTTAGAGGAAAATCAAGACTTCTGACTTATATACAGACTAAGTATAAGATGCCTACAAATGGTTTTATTGAATGGACTGGATTCAATGGGATGAAAATATGAAATAGGCTTATTTTTCATAGTTTTTAATTGTATGTGGAATTTCCCTTTGTTGCATTTTGAACAGTCCCACTTTTTTTCCAGTAACCTTCGCATATTAAGAGTATCATTTTTAGGTACTAATAAATTCAGTCTGGTCTAATATCAAATTTTTGATGTCATCTGCAATTTAAGGGTCCCTCCCTCCTCCAGTTCAGTTCTGAAACAGGCTCAGAAACCTGTAATGGGAAAAGGAAGTTTGGTTGGTAGCTTCACCGCTTTCTCATTTTACTGCCTCTGGACTTTCTAAAGTTGGAGCTAGTGGACAAAGGACAAGAGTGCAAAAAGAGACATGCTGACAAGATCTTTCTTGGCTTTGGTACCCCCTGGATGTGGCACATGCCAAAATTCTGGGTCTTTCTTTCTTAGAGAACTTACATGAGTTCTTTAGAGACTCTCTCCCTCTCAATATGGGGACACCCTACTCCACCTCCCCCTGGCATGGGATACGCCCTCTCCAGCTGTCACTTTATCTCTCCTCTCAGTTTCTGCTTCTGACAGTACAATCACATAGACCTTTTCTGTTGGGATCACCTAGCCCTGGCAGGAAGTCCTCTCAGGCAGGGTCTTCTTGAGGCAAGTCTTGTCCTATGACCTTCCTGGTCTCACACGTAACAGTTGCAGTGCAGTTAGCCTCTGCTATAGCCCACTCTCCTTATTATGCCATCAGGGGAAGCTCCCCAACACTCTGGCATTGAAAGTTTTTCTAGATAAAAGTCAGGCACTAGTCAGTATCTTCCAAGCTCCAGAAGAACTATGTCAAGTTTTCTAAATGATTCTACTGAAGCCTCCCTCACTGCAGCTTGATATGAGGGAGAGGCCGCCCTCCCCTCATGGGAATATACAAAACACCAAAATGCTTTCAAAAGAAATCCTCAAGGGGACTTCCCTGGTGGCGCAGTGGTTAAGAATCTGCCTGCCAGTGCAGGGGACAGGGGTTCGAGCCCTGGTCCAGGAAGATCCCACATACCACGGAGCAACTAAGCCCATGCACCACAACGACTGAGCCTGTGCTCTAGAGCCCGCGAGCCACAACTACTGAAGCCCACGTACCTAAAGACCATACTCTGCAACAAGAGAAGCCACCGCAATGAGAAGTCCGCGCACCGCAATGAAGAGTAGCCCCTGCTCGAGGCAACTGGAGAAAGCCGGCACACAGCAACAAAGACACAAGGCAGCCAAAAAATTAATTAATTAATTACATTTTTAAAAAAAGAAATATTCAAATCTAAACTCTTTCATAAGTTCCTAACCTTCTTTTATATAGGCTGGAGGTATATGATGGGCTAAAGGTTGCTGAACCAATTTTGGACCACTACCTGACCAAGTCCTGAATAGGTGGCCTGATATCTCTCTTTAGAATTTGGGGGTACTTGTCACCTATAATTCTGAGCAATCATTCTAAGGTAGGAAATGTCTCATCTTAACATCTTGTTACATGCTTATTTGACACCTAAGTGGAGGTATCAAGCAAGCAGTCTGAACTAGAGATATAAACTTGGGACTTATTGGCATGTATGATATTTTCAAGCCATGAGACTGGATAAGATCAGCTAGGGATTGGAAGCAGAGAGAAAATAAAATGAACCCAGGTCTAAGATAAAGGGCACTCAAGCAGAGGAGGAGGGCCCAGTAAGAAGACTGAGACCATTCAGCCAGTGTATTTCCCCGAGAGGTGGTAATAAGGGAAGCCTGGCCAAGAAAACTGCAGCCCCAAGACTGGGGAATCCTTGCAAGGAAATAAGATACCCAGTTTCATAACAATGAGTCAATATTGTTTGCATTACCCATCCATGGTGGCCTGGGCTTGGCAATGTTGAAATGCTGATCCATGAACTCTACAAACACAGTCTTTTTGTACATGACTGAGGTGTTGAATGGAAAAGATCTTGGCACTCTAGGAGAAAACCTGTGTGAAAAAAGGAAAAAGTCATTCATTTTGGTTGACCCTTCTTTGAACCCACTTTAAAAAACAGCTGAGGGACTTCCCTGGTGGTCCAGTAGTTAAGACTCCACGCTTCCAGTGCAGTGGGTTCAGGTTCGATCCCTGGTCGGGGAACTAAGATCCCGCATGCCGTGTGGTGTGGCCAAAAAAATAAAACATAATTTAAAAAACAGCTGGAAGTAATGCTTCCATCCCACTCTCCTCTACTGTTAACAAGGCAGATTGGAAGCTGTATATGAAGTCACAGAGAAAACTGCTGCCCCCCAAATTAGAGAGACAGGTGAATGCAGAGAATCACAACTTACTAGAACAGAAACCTTCAAGTAGAAATGCCTGTGGGAACCAGTGCTGTAGTAGGAAATAAAATAAATAAATTTTAAAAAATAATAAAAATAAAAAAGTTAAAATATGCCAGAGCATTCTGTTCTTATGCCTGCCCTCATGAGAAATTATTTTACCAGAGCTTATCATTCTGGGATTTTAATCACAGCTTCATCTACCTGGAAGAAGGAAGATACCCAACATCATCCTGCTTCTCCTTCCATGTAGAGGAAAGGAAATACCCAACTCTAGCCAGCCTGTGTCAAGGGGTGAGACTGAGAAGCAGTGGTGAAGTCCACAGTCCGGGGGCACAGGCTCACTAAAAGACTGAGACCTAATCACAGGGCTATAGAGCACTTCCCCACACCTCACCACCACATCACTAAAGGCCTAATTTACCAAAGTTCCTTTTATCCAGTACATCACGTCCATCATTCAACAAAAACTTACAAGGCACACTAAAAGGCATTAAAAAAGAACCCCACAGTTCATAGAGACTGAGCAAGCAGCAGAACTAGAGTCAGATATGACAAGAATGTTGGAAGTATTAGACCAGAAATTAAAAAAAAAACTATGACTAATATGTTAAATATTTTAATGTAAAAAGTAGACAACATGTAAGAACAGATGGATAATAGAAGCAGAAAGATGGAAATTCTAAGAAAAATCAAGAAGAAATGGTAGAGATCAAAAACACTGTAATGGAAATGAAGAGTGCCTTTGATAGGCTCCTTAGTAAACTGGATATTGTTAGGAAAAAATCTCTGAGCTTGAGCGTATGACAACAGAAACTTCCAACACTGAAAAGGAGAGAGAAAGTTGCTCCTCAAGGGCTATAGATCATACCCTGAGTCATATCCCTGAGTTGTTTTGCAGATACTAAGACCCCCACTGGGCAGAAGAAGGTAAGGGCGTGCTGACCACCGGCGTGTAGACCCCAGACCACTGGAACCAGAAGGATGATGATGTTGACTCCCTCCCGAAATACCACCTGGTTACCTCACCACCAAGCAGTCAGAAGAACGTCCATAAGCTGATCAGGTATCCCGCCACCCCCTCCCTCACCTTGCCTTCAAAAGCCCTTCCCCGAAAGCCATCGGGGTGTTTGGGTCTTTTGAGCATATGAGCTGCCCGTTCTTGCTTGGCCCCAGGTTGGGCGTCTTGCAATAAATGCTGCACTTCCTGCCAAGGAAACTGCACCAAACAACCAAGTAAACTGAATGACTTAGCCAGTTGATGTTAGCCAGCCTCAGTCGTTGGCACCCCAATCCTGCCAAAATGGACATATAAATGGAGGAGCCATGATGGTGACTATGCATGGGCTCAACATCATGGACTCACCAAGGCTGATCTAGCTACTGCTGCTGTAAATGTCCAGCTTGCCAGGAACAGAGACCAACACTAAGGCCCTGATGTATCATCATTCCTCAAGGAAACTATCCAGACACTTGGTGAGCCTCAGTAAGCTAAGCCCCAATGAACTCCTCCCAATAAACTTCCTGCACACATACATACACAAAAGAAAAAAAGCAGACAATCCTTTTTTTTTTTTTGAAATTTGTGTGCTTAAAAAGCTATAAAATCACCCAAGGAAACAGAAGTTGTCACTACTTGCACAATGTTGGTTGGCAACATTCTTTTTCATCCCATTTGCTTTCAGATAATTCACCGACAGCCATAAATTTGTGGCAATGCTGTCACCCATGATTAGCAGAACCCCGCTCAGAACGACCGAAAACTTAAAAGGCCCCCAAACGGTGCTTCCCAGCGAAAGGGTAGGCGTGAGGCTGTCAGAGCTCTTTCGTGAGGCACACAGTGGCCCTCCGCCCACCAAAACCGCAGCTATGCTAAGGCGAAGCTGGTACCCAGCAGGGTGGAACCACCTGGTAGGTCCCCGAGTTTGTGCCCCTGGAGCTCTGATGAGGGGTGTGGCCCAGAGACGGAGGTTTGAACGGCTCTGGTGAAAAATAAAAGTGCTTCGAATGGCTGACAGAGCAGACTCTGCTACGCGAGTTTCTGGGAGTCGCACTCAACACGAACGGCAGGCGACGGTGGAAAGAAGAGGCATAGACACAGACAGACACACCAGACAGCCACTTGCAGAAGGAAGCCCTGTGAGCCCTAGACAGTGTTGAAACCAAGGAGGAAGGACCAGCCAAGGAAAGGAGGGAGACGCCCCTTCAGAAGACACAAGGGTTTGGCAGAGCCTGAAAATGGTGAGCCTGCACCTAACAGTTTAGCAGCTCTTGCTTCACATAAAGATTGTTGCAAGCACGAGAGAAACTGGCCAAGCGACAGTCACAGAGGAAGACCTCAGCAGCCTCGGAGGGATGGAGCAGCAGATGGACTGAAGACACTCCTTCCAAGTGTGCACTGTTTTGCGTACACCTCTCTCAAGGAGGCAAAGATGAGATTGACTTAATTCTCTCCTCCCTGACAGCCCTCCCCTCCCAGGGAGCCTTGCAGCTCACTCAATCCCAGGGTTTCCAGGACACCCAAGAAAGCACGTACCGGGAGCAGGTCGGCCAGCCCAAGGCCAGGACAAGTGACTCTATGTACTGGCTGAGGGCCAGAAGCCAGCGTACTGATAAGGAAGCCCTTCCAGTAAAAGGAGCTGATTTACGGAGGCAGGCGTGGGGATCTGCATGGACCAGAGTGCATAAGCAGGCTGAATGAGCAGATTGTCAGAGGCCCATCTCATCTACTCGTGCTACACAGCTACCTTTACCTCAAGTCACACCCATAGCCATGTGGGGGGATCCCTGACGACCAGTTGCTGGGGGGGAAGAAGCCTGAGATTATGTACAGTTGGGTCAGCTTGGTATTCAGGTACGAGCCAAAAATTGACTGCTGTTGTATTACAGCCCCACTCGGGTGGATTCAATAGACAATGGTGAAGGATAATCTCCCGGTGGGCCAAATTTTGGCTAATGTTGGTTGTTCACTTTGAGCAGAAAGAGAAAACCGCCCAAGGTTCAAATATATACAGACTAATGGACAGCAGCAAATGGCTTGGCTGGCTGTTCAAGGGCCTAGAAAGAAAAGGACTGGAAGGTCAAGGACAAGGATGTCTGGGGCGAAGGCATATTAGTGAGTGGGTACAAAATAAAAAAACCTTCATGTCATATGTTAATACCATCAGAGAATAGCTATTGTGGAAGAAGTGCAAAACAATAACAGACAAAATGACTGACAATTACCATTAGCCAGCCTCTACATGGGCCATCTCAGTGCTGGCAAGATGTGAGCCAAGTGGCTGTGGAGGCGTGGAGAGAATTAATGCATGGACCCAAAAGCAAGGGTTCCCACTGACTAAGGCTGATTTAACTTGTGTTGCCTCCCCAAATCCAACCTGCCAGCAACAGAAACCAATGCTGAGTTCCTAACTGGGCACTGTCCATCATGGAGACCAGCCAGTGATTCGGTGGCAAATTGCATTGGATCCCTTCCACCCTAGAAGGGCTGGCTCTTCATTCTGATGAGAAGAGACATGTATTTCAGGGATATGTTAGCTTTCCTGCCTGCAGGGCCTCAGCCAGCACCACTGTCTGAGGGCTCACAGAGGGTTTGATTCACTGATGTAGGATCCCATATGATATCATATCAGACCAGGAGACCACTGTACAGCAAAGGAGGTGCTGGAGTGAGCCCATGACCATGGCATCCACTGGCTTTATCAGATGCCACCTCATGCAGAAGCTGCCAGACAGAGAGAGCAATGGAATGACTTCTTAAAGGCACAGCTAAAGCTCCAGCTTGGAGGCAGGGCTCCATAAGGATAGAGGGTCAACCTCCAAGGTGCTGGATATGCATTGATTTAAAGATGGTTCTGTGGCCCCAATGAGAACACACGGGTTTAGGAACCAAAGAATGGCAGCAAAAGAACCTCTCTTCCCCCGTGACCCACCCGGGGAGTCTGTGCCGCCCATCTCCACCTGCAGCTCTGGGCTCAGCAGTGTAGAAGGTCCTCACAGCACAAAACACAAGAGTCTCACTGAGTGAGAAGCAGGAGCGCCGCCTGGGCACCTGGGGCTACCGTACCCAAGGAGCGGCACGCCAGACGAGGAGCACCCGGGGCACGACCACCAAGGGGGGAGGGCTGTCTCACGCGAAGCAGGCAGGAGTGGGTCACACCCCAGGGCAGCCACACCAGGTGAGGGGCGCGATGAGACGGCCCCTGGGGCCTGGAGAAGCTGCCCCCGATGCAGGTGAGGACATGGACAGTGAGTGAGTGGGGGTTGTGATGGCGATGGGGAGTGGGCGGCCCGGAAGGTACTCGAACCCGGCCACCTGGGGGGTGGGTGCTGCTGGAGGACAGCCCTCAGCTCCGGTATCTTCGAGGAGCGGCCCGCCGGGCTCATGCCCCGCCCACAGGGCCTGGACGCCCCTTTTCCAAAGCAGCCCACTGGCCCTTCTCAGGGAGGCCACGCCCATTCCCAGAGCAGACCACAGCCCCTTTCTGGAGCAGGTCACGCCCCCTCCCCAGGATAGCCACGCCCCTTCCCAGGATAGCCACGCCCCTTCCTAGGATAGCCAGTGCTTAATGACTGATCAGTACGGAGACACAGGGTCCTGGCCGCGTTGGCCCAAGTGGGACAACGCAGAAGGGTCATTCCCGCTCCAGAGCTCCTTGTAGGGCTGGC